GACGGTAAGATTTGTGTTCTGCCCAGAGCATTGGATATGCTTGCTTGGAACCACTTACTGGAGTTACAGTCGTGACCGAAGACAGATAACTTAGAACAAGGAATACCTCGAATGACTTGGTGATACAGACACCAATCCACAATGCTGCAGTAACAAGCGTCAACAGCAAAACGAAGTGCCTTCTTCGAACCAAGTCCCCAAGAGGACAAAGAAGGATTAATCCCGTTGCATATCCAGCCTGGCTGCAGGTCGGGATTAATGATGCTCGCTCATGCGAGACGTCAAAGAATTGGGCAAGAACATCAAGAATGGGATGTGAATAGTACAGATTGGCAACCTGTACGACTAAATTAGCAGTGATTATGGCATATCTGGATACTTTTCTATGGCACACCGTGAAAGTTCCCGAGAATGCGAACAGGATATTCAAAGGCAAGCCGAATTTAGTCGGATTCTCTGTATTCCATCGACATCGCGGCGGTGTCCATGAAACGACACCGAGAAAGCGTCTCCAATACTTTTGTTTCCCCAATGACTCTTCTGTCGAGCTTTGAACATTGACATCATGGCCTTTTTCGTCTTCACCAAATCCCTGGATCGTGGGGGAATTAGAGCGTGCTGAGGTGATCGGCAATAGTTCTGCAGGACTTTCAATTTGAGAGCTGGAATGATTTTCCGCTCTTTGGGTGTCCCCTACAGTCATTTGCTAGGGTTTGAGATATTAAGTGACTGTATGCTCTTTTTTATCTCAATGACTCAATGACATCAACGAAGGCCGAAAGACATGGGCATTAGGGTTAGGGGATTTATGCGAAATAGGGCCGAAACAGCTTGAAGAAGATTATTCCGTCGACCTGTAGACTAGGAATATCTGAGCTAGTAATAATCCATAGCCGTAAGGCTTAGTTATATATTGCGTGAGATATTGATTAGCAAGAATCGCCATTCCACCCCCATTTCCGCATGCATTTCCGCATTACCCCCACATTCCTGTGGGCAGATCCGCTATTAACCCTCCGTACTTACCCCTCCCTATATATAAATGTTTACCCCGCTATTCCTCTATCATTAACTATAACCTTAGATCTCTATCAGAGCCCTAAAACCAATGAGGCCGTTTATCTTGATCACTATTTCGGATCACTGCTCGGCAGTCTTATATAACACTCATTCGGAGGCTTGAAGGAGAGAGTCTTGAAAGATTATATACGCACAGGAGGTATGAGAAATAAGTGCTGAATACCTAGGCGTCTGCATCTCTCGGAAGAAACCCAACTCTACAGCGAAATTCGTGCATCTATAAGGGTAAATATTTATATAACACATATTTCACGATCGTTTGAGGATATTCAGGGTCTGATATTTGCTTAACTTAGTGTAAATTATTCAGCATATATAAAGTCTTTGGAAATGAAATGAGGATTGAATTGAGGGGAGTGCAGAGTAGTAGGACTTTTCATTGCCTGCCTCATGATAAGGATTATTGTAGGAATCTACAGGACTTCTGGTATTGATTGTGCAAGCGCGATGACCACAATGAATAGAATAGGTAAGGTGGATTCCTCACAAGGGTTGCATCTTTCAAACCAATTAATTTTTTCGGGGGCCAGCGGTTAGGGTAGATAGAGCATGCATACAATTGCATGCGGTTTTAGAATTAGGGCGCATCACCTGGGGGTATTACCCACCTCCCAGCCTATAGGTATGATTTACAAACACACCTGTACAGGAGCTGAAAAAAAGGAAATGAGTAAGAATAAGCCTGGGCAATCCTGGTCCTATGAATAGTTAGCGCCGTATTTCCCGATTTAGTAATGATCACCGACACCTGGGCTATTCCAGGTGATCAGGCACATAAGTTGTATGTTGTATGTTGTATGTATTTAGTAAAGAGATTTCGCCATTTACTTTTCTTAAATCTGGACTATTAATTACTTGTCCTACAATTTTTTTTATTATTTTTTTTTATCTATTCAGATAAAAACCTTACGACAAATTCCTCGAGTCCTTATTTATCTTGACCATCCATCAATTTCCCTCAATACACCGCAGTTTATCTTGCTACTTGCACCGTGCAGTACGATAGCAAAATTCTCGAGATATCTGAAAGGCTTGATGACTGTAAATCATTCCCTGAGGTTCCCATCTCTCGCGGGATGAGCAATGGATCAGAGAATAAGTGTCACTTGACAAAGCTGACACGTAATGACTACGCTGTCGGATGGATCTGTGCATTGTTTGAAGAGCAGACTGCTGCGACTGCTATGTTAGATCAGGAGCATCCTGATCTCCCTACGCCGCCTGATGATCCGAATACGTACACACTTGGGTCCATCGGGGAGCACAATGTTGTCATAGCCTGTCTACCAGAAGGAAGAATGGGTAATAATGCAGCGGCCACTTGTGCGACCCAAATGGCGCGCACTTTTCCATCCATCAGAATCGGCCTGATGGTAGGCATTGGTGGTGGCATCCCTCCCAAAGTCAAACTCGGAGATGTTGTGATTAGCATTCCTGTGGACCAGTATCCAGGAGTTGTTCAATGGGATCTTGGCAAGGCAGAAGATGGCAGGAAATTCAGGCGTATAGGTGCTTTGAACAGCCCTCCAAGCACACTTCTGACAGCTGTGGCCAAATTGAGAAGCAGGAACAGGCTCAAGAAACATAGGCTTCTACCCCAATTTCTACAAGAGATGGGCAAAAGATGGCCAGATCTAGTGCCCCAGTACAGCGAACCACCTTCGGAGCTAGCCGATTCTCAGAACGAAGTGCGCATGTCACGATCCAACTTTTCTGTGATATGGGATATGATACTGGCTCTTTTTGGTTATCTCTTGGGATGGCAAATTCTAGCCCCTGCAGATCGTGGTGGCGAGCTCGTCCAGTTGAAGTCGACACCAAAGCAGCAGGGATTAATTGACGTGCACTACGGTCTGATAGCCTCCGGAAACCAAGTCATCAAAGATGCTGGGCTTCGTGACAGTGTCAATGAGAACCTCGGAGGAAAAGTCTTGTGTGTTGAAATGGAGGCAGCAGGGCTGATGAATGACTTCCCCTGCATTGTCATACGGGGGATTTGTGATTATGCCGATAAAAGAAAGAACGACGAATGGCAGCCATATGCTGCAGCTGTGGCTGCGGCATGTGCGAGGGCTCTTCTGGAATATGTGCAGCCAAGTCATGTCGCCAGCGAGCGCCCGTTAAGAGATATTCTAAACCAAGGTTAGTTTAAGAACTTGAATATATTAGACATGCTCTGATAAGGATGTTAGTCAACCGTACTATTGGTAGAACAGAAGCTCAAGTTCAAATAATGAGCTCCAAATTTGAAAGAAAAGAAGACCTGGAACTTCTGGATTGACTTTCACCAATTAATTACGGTCATCAACAGAGCCAATTTCTGAAAATGCAACAACCAGGAACTTGCCATTGGTTCTTACAGTCGGGTCCGTACAAAAATTGGCGAAGCACTTCCAAGCAGACGCTATTTTGCCCAGGTATTCCCGGAGCAGGAAAAACAATCATGACCGCAATGGTTGTTGACGACCTTCGCCGAAGCTTTGCCGACCCCACCGTTGGAATAGCTTATATATATTGCAATTTCAATCGGCGACACGAGCAAGGTATCGACGACCTTGTCGCAAGTTTGACGATGCAATTAGTCCAGAGCCGGCCTTCTATACCAGAAAATGTTCACGGTCTTTATCACATGCATATGAGACAACGCACAAGACCGTCATTTGATGAACTTTCGAACGCTCTATCATCTGTGGCGGTGTTGTTTTCAAAAGTGTACATTATTGTGGACGCTTTGGATGAAGCCCAAGCACCAGATGGGCGCATTTCAAGATTCCTGTCTGAAGTGTTCAAACTGCAACACACAACATGCCTCAATTTCTTTGCTACATCAAGACCTATCCCATCGATTGAAAAAGAGTTCAAGGGATGCGGTTCACAGAGCATATCAGCATCACAAAATGATATAGGTGTTTATCTCGATCGTCACATTGATCGGCTGCCGGTGTTTGTGCATGAAAAACCAGAGTTGCAACTGGAAATAAAACGCCAGATTATAAACGCAGTTGATGGGATGTTAGGAGTCCCAATTCTTTATTTTCCGTGAATTATACTGATATTCTACGTTTACCAAGGTTCTTGCTTGCGAAACTTCATCTGGACTCTTTGGTTGGAATTAAATCCCGACGGCTGTCAGAATTGCTCTGCAAAAACTTCCCAAGGGGTCGGAGGCATACGACTTTGCATACCACGAGGCGATGAGAAGAATTAAAGGCCAAGTAATTCATTCTCAAGCATTAGCAGAACAGACTCTCATGTAGATTTCCCGTGCAAAGAGACAGCTTTCTATCCAAGAGCTCCAGCATGCGTTAGCGGTAAGACCGGAATTGGACGAATTTGATGAAGAAAATATTTCACAAATTACCGACATACTTTCCGTTTGTGCTGGATTGGTGACAGTGGACAATGAGAGCAACATCGTACGACTAGTCCACTACACAACACAAGAATATTTCGAACGAACGTGGAAAGATTGGTTCAAAGATGCAGAGGCAGAGATCGCAAAAACCTGTGTATCTTACCTCATGTTTCGTTCGTTTGAGGATGGGCCTTGCCAAAGCCGCTTACAGTTTGACAGTAGACTGAAGGTATATAAGCTCTATGACTATTGCGCAAAGAACTGGGGCCATCATGCCCGCGAAGCGTCGGCTGTGTGCCTAGAAGTCATGGACTTTGTAGCATGTGAGATGAAGTTTGATGCATCAAAACAGGCATTACTGAGAGCCAGAAAGTGGCGACATCAGGAACACTTCATGAATCTTACTCATGAGACCGAAAACAGAGTGACAAGCCTTCACATCGCATCGTACTTTGGTGTAACGGGACTTGTGAAGATGTTACTCGGAAAGAGTCTTGCGATCAACTCCCAGAATAGGTGTGGCCATGAACCAATTACCAGGCTACAACTTGACGACGGGATCGACATGGAAGCAAAAGACCACGAGGGGAGAACGGCCCTGGACATGGCCGCAGAGTCTGGCCGTGGGGAAGTAGTCAAACTGCTGATTGGCCACGGGGCCAATATAAACGCCCGAGACAATAATGGGAGAACTGCCCTTTCCATAGCAGCAGAGGCTGGACATGAGGCCGTAGTCAAATTGCTAATTGATCAGAGGGCTGGCATGGAGGCAAAAGCCAGTGGTTTTGACCAATCGCCACCGGCATGGGCAGCAAGAAATAGACATTGGACAGTGGTCAAATTACTCTTGATCCGGGGTCTTGATATAGAAGGAAAGGACGGATATGACAGAACAGCTCTATCCTGGGCCGCAACGCATGGAGCGGAGGCAATTATCAAGTTACTGCTCGACAAAGACGCCGATATTCACTCAAAAGACCGCTCAGGCTACACACCGCTGTCAAGAGCAGCAAGGTCAGGAGCAACGTCAATTATCACACTCCTGCTCAAGCACGGGGCAGAAATCGACTCTGCTACGATTGACGGATGGACACCCCTTCATTTCGCCTCAAAAAATGATAATCCCGAGGCTGTCAAACTTCTTAAGAAAGGGGCAAATATCAACATGACAACAGACAGCGGATCTTCAGCATTGAACATTGCCTTGCATATGGGTAATTCCGTGATGGCCATGCTACTCCTTGAGCAAGGTGCTGATATCGGAACGAGGAAAAGAGATCGGCAAACTACTATTAGATGGAGGCGCAAACATCAATTCCATAGCGCCAGATGGGAGGACGCCACTCCATTTTGCCTCTTTTCAGGGCCACGTTGAGATAACCAAATTATTGCTACAGCAAAAAGCAGACCCAAGATTAGCGGATCATGAGTTCCTCACGCCACTTTATCTAGCCTCGCGAGAAGGCCACCTTGAGGTAGTTAGACTTCTCTTGGAGAACGGTGCAGAATGCCAGCGCCAGGGACAATGATGGATGGACCCCAATGCATATGGCTTCATGTAACGGTTCTCTCGATTTAGTGAGTCTTCTTATCGAGAAAGGGGCGGCAATCAACGTTAGGAGCACCCGTGGACAGACACCAGTGAATTGGGCTTCGATGGGATATCAATCTGCCGTGGTGAGAACTCTCCTTGAGAATGGGGCCGACTTCACAATTGCAGACGACACCGGGACAACACCTCTTGACTCTGCATCTGAGGTTGGTGATCCACAAACAGTCAGAGCTCTCCTAGATTATGGGGCGGAGAGCATACTTGCAAATGAGCACGGTATTATACCACTTCATAGAGCTTCATCAGGCGGCCATCTCGAGGTAGTGCAGCTACTCCTTGAGTCTTCAGAAGCTAGCCTTGAAATTCGGGATAATTGCGGTCGCACACCTCTTTTCCATGCTGCTGCAAGGGGTCATATCCAGACTGTCCGGTTGCTGCTTTCATATTCCGCTCTTGCCAATGTGACTGACCGCTATAAAACAACTCCGCTTTGCGCCGCAGCACGGAACGGTCATGCCGAGGAGGTTAAACTGTTACTTCCGTTGACAGACATTGAGAACCACTTTGAGGATGGATTAGGTCAGAATCTAGCCTGGTGGGCGGCAAAGTCCGGGTGTGTCGAAATCATCAACCTTGTGCAGCAATGGGCTCAAAAAATGGGGTTCGAGATCGGTGAGAATGACTTCAGTCTTGGGTCCTCTCCAGTTCCCCCCGATGAATATCCCGAATACTGCGATGTGTGCACTCGCTACATTATGTATGGTGGCCCCTACTACCGTTGCGAAACTTGTTATTATGCTCTTACATGCGGGGAACGTGCTGAATTTGGGTTTCAATGCCTCGATGCCTCTCACAACTGCGATCTCTACAATCCTTGAAGCTTGCTTCTACTCCCACTTCCGATCCACTAGGCTCTAGGCGTCATTTTGTGTCTTAAAATTGCCTATCAAACACAAGCTTATAAGGGAGTTCGAGGATTTCAGGGAATAGCAACAACAAAGCTGTGGCCAAGTTGACACTAGCGGTTGAAGGTTTGCCCAACGGGTTCATATGGGTGTTTATTACTCGTTTCAGCCCCAAATCAGTCAGGTATATAGACACGCCGCGCGAGTCAGCACGATTGTTCCACCTCAAGCGGGTTCTATTTTCCTTGGAACAAGCTGTCGAGGCTGCCGAGCATTGTTCAATCTTAACTCATATCTTATCCATCTCTCGGGCATTTTACTTTTACTGGTTAGACCTGATTCAAGGAAGCCCTGAACGTAGAGAATTCCAGTGTCCAGCAAAGAAGTGAGAGTAAGAGGGGATCCACTACGTGTAGGCCTATACTTCATGTGTCGGGGTCTGAATCTACCTAGTTTCCCCTCCAATTCTGATCGCCAGGACGCTGGTCTACGATCAAACATAATAACTGGGAGATATACGGTTAGCCCGGTGTTTTTGGCCTTGATCTGGCCAGATATCACGCCTACGGCATAGTTTGGAGGAAGCACGGCCTTCTCCCTATGTATGTACAAGAATAGTCGGCCGCTTATGCGCCCTTATCACGTCTTTCTGAATGTCTTGTTGGCCTTTTTAGGTGTATACGAAGGCGGTGGAAAGAGCATTCTTCTATTTACTAACCTTTGATTCGCCCAAAGCCGCTTTGAATACAATGGCTGGTAAATTAACTTGATAGTCTTGGTTTTGAAGTTCTAATCCATATGATACACATTAAAAATGAAGGCTAGTTGTTCGCAACAGTCAGGAAAGCAGGTAGAAGCATAAACTGGTATCAGATGACAAGCCATTTTTCTGTAACAGCCTTCGCCGTCTCTGCATTGCCGCTGAGAACGTGAATACACTGCAGCGCATAAGCGGCCTCGCGGGAGAAATCCTCAACGCAAGGCTGGCCAGTGGGCGATGAAGTCCCCTGGGGTTTGCCGTCATCGCCCGTAACCAGACCAGCACCATCTGTTGTAGATGTGGGGTCTTGAAGAGACTTTTGCTTGGTCTGTTCTTGAATCTGCTCGCCGAGTTTCAACACCCGGTCGTACCCATCGATAGCAAGATGAGCCAGACCAAGCGAGTGCCAGACACGAGCGAAGTTGAATTCCATCTCCTGTTTTTCGGGTAGAAGAGTTCCCGGCTTCTCTCGAACCAGCCGGTATTCATGCATAAAGGATAGTCCTTGCATGATGAGGTAGTGACGATTCTCGGATTGTCGTTTGAGAGAGTGGTGGATGAATGAGAGGGCGATGGAGAGAAGAACGGCCGGATTTTGGTCGTCTAGGGCGTATGCTCGGAAGAAATAGTTCAGCGCGGGGTAGAAACTGTTTCCAGAGTACAGCATGTGGCCATAGAGCACGAGAAGAGCAATGTCTAACGATTTCGCGGTGATAGGCTCACCGGCTTCATCCCGTGTCGATAGAGTGGCGCGCTCTTTCCAGACAGAATGCCGAATGGGTCGAGGGGTATCTTGTGGCATCGTGAAGTCTATCGCCTTGATTTGGCGAAGCATGAATTTCATGTTTCCCGAGGAATGGAAAAGAGATCGGTGAGGGTCGCCACATAAGTGGCCCAGCATGGAGAAAAGTCGATAAGTGTCGGTGACAAACTGGTATTCTTTGATGAACCAGCGGGCTTCATTGGCCAGTGTCTCTTCATCTCGTGCGCGGAGAGCGCATGCTATAAAAGGTGTTAGTAGATAATTACTTGCTAGTGAAATAGACGAACTCACTAAACCAGCAAACATGGATTAATCGCGACTTGGGCTTAGAGTGCAACCAGATACTTGCAATCGCCGCAGAATCAAGGGTCTCGTAAGCTTCTTCTGGCTCGCCTTGTTCTGCTACGAGTAGAGCGTATTGCAGGAAGATGTCAAGCCATTCATCAAATGGTATTCCGTGGTAGTCAGTGGGAATGGCGCCTTGCAAGGGCTCCTCTGAGACATCTCCTAAATGTGACATTAGCATGGTGTATCTGGATGGATTGAGCAGGATGACATACCTAAGGTTTCTTGAAGACGGCCCGCCATTTCCTGCATTTCATCCATCATTGTGCCATTTTTGGTCTGGTTCTTGGATTTTGCACCAGTCGAATACCCCCTAAAGGCAATACTTCGGTCCATCGGATAGAACGCGCGATTGTTCCGGAAATCTCGCAATAGAGCATCGGCAATGTCCAGCCAATCCTCAATGGCTACAGGGACACCATCTTTGACTTGTGGATTCAACTCCAATAACTTCGCATACAAGAATTGAATATCATCAGTCCTAGTACCTTCGCCAGGTTGCGCCCGTCCTTTGCCGGGGGCCGAAGGAGCTGCGTTCATCAGTGTTGCTGTCTGTGCCGGTTTGGGTGCTATTGACCGGAGGGGTTCTGATCCAGCAGCCATCTTGAACTCTATGGCAAGCTGTTCAAGTCTGGTGTCCTTTCTTCTTCCCCGGCTGCGAGTTTCCTGCCGGCCAATCAGAACTGCCTCGCCGACATATTTCATAGCCTGCTCGCTCATCCCGAGGCTCTCATAGAGCTTAGCTAGTAGTACTCGTGACTCCATATGACTAGCATCGTGTTCAGCGACGAGTAGATAACAACTTTCAGCATCTTCCATCTTGCCCAGCTGCATACAGCAATCAGCCATGGCCATGAAGAAGCTGATATCGGCATGTTCAGCGGTCTGCTGGATGGGCGTATAGTATCGGAGTGCTTCTTCGAAGAGGCCGACTTGTTTTAAAGCATCTGCCACTTCCCTGAAAAGATCACCATAGTCGAAAATCCGGGCACCTTCGGAATCGTCTTCTGGGTTAAGCCATTCAAAGTGATGCTGGTTGTATCTGATTAGTATTTTTATTCAATCATTCGTTATCTGGCACCAAACTCACCAATGCCTCGCTGTGATGCTTGTCACCCAATTTAAGGCGGAAAACACCCATTTTTATCCGAAGCTCTAGGGGAAGGCCAAGCCCATACGACTCTCGAGGCCATTGACCGGGAATAAAACCATCGGTTTTGATGCGTCGAGGCGAATCATCGGCGTCCCATTCTCTGTCGTCATCTTCGTGGCCGTCCCACGCTGAGTCTTCTCCGCGACCTAGAAGCCAACGTGCAAGTATTTTTAAAGAGATGAGCCCTTCTTCGGGTTGTTTGAGATACCCAAAAAGTTCAACGTAGATATTGAGATCCGACCAAGTGAACTCGGAGTCCTCAGGGTTGAGAGACAGGTAGTGGTCAATGCTGTCCGCATAATAATCTGCTGCTTTTTGTACGTCATTGAGATCAATGTACGTCTCTGCAAGATGGCGCAGTGCTCTGGCACTGTGTGGGCAGTCCTTGAGTAGTCTCTCATACTCAGCTGCGGCTCGGCCATTGTGGCCTAGCTCACGATAGATAGCTGCTCTCTGGAACCGAATATTGGTGTTGCCGGGGCTGACCTCGAGGATACGGCTGTAACAATAAGCAACATCATGCAATGCGGATTGCCGATCTTCTCCAGCGCGATCCAAGATGAGCCGAGCAACTTTGACCCAGACACCTGGATCTTTCGGCCTTGTATGAGCTCCGTTGAACAGAGCTGCCAGGGCTTTATCGTTTTCTCCTTGTGCGAGGAAAATTTCTGAGAGCAAAGAATGAGCAGCGAACATCTCGGGATTAATCTGAATCGCCTGCATCACCAGCTCAATGGCCCGTTCGTAGTCTCCATCAATGAAGGCAGAGGTAGCCCCCGAATGAAGATGTTTGAATTCTGGACTGGGCTCTAGTGGTTTGCGGGGTCCTCTTTTGATGCCCTTTCCGCCGCGAGCGCCATACCTTCCGGAGAAGCGTCCACCTCCACGACGGCGGCGCCTGCTGGCGCCTGAATGATCGTCGTCATCATCCTCCGCTAGTTCATCCTCCTCAGACTCACTACTATTCTGTTAAATAAAGTCGGAGATGCGGTATCTCAGCATACATACCTCTCGCTTTCGTCTTCGGATAAGGCAAAGTCCTCGTCCGATATAGCTCCATCGCCAGGCACGGGAGGATACGATACTGGGGGATACCCACTGTCATATTCGTTTAAGTAGAAGCCATCAGCCCCTTGCTCTTCTTCGACTTCGCCTAGGCCTTCGGTGGGATCTTGAGGACATTGATTGATGCTTTGGGGTTGAGTTTGTGGGTTTTGGTCTCCAAACAAACGAGGATCAAGCACGGAGGAAAGCATATCCCCGACGTCAAAAGATTGCTCATTTTGCCATGGATAGTGAACAGTTTCATCGATATCCGGATATGTCGACTCTCCCTCCTGCATTTCCTCATCCAGAGGAATCCCGTCCGGGTAATGCTGGGAACTCATGGCCACTGATGATTCAAAGTTCAATAGAGAGTGTTTCCCACTGATGATAAAAGGTATAGCTTAAGATAATCATCAGCGATGTGGATCACCAAGGGAAGTTCATTATCAATCCAGTATAGTTGAAGTGCACTGGATTTACGAATGGATTCAGGTCTAGGCTTGGCAGATATTCATAGTATCTGTCTCCACCAGGGCTGAAGAAAATATTCAGATTTGACCAAGAGGAGAATTGCCAAGAAAGAAAATAAAATAGAAGATGTCCTTTGACTCAAAAAGCAGAGATACGGAGAAGTCAAGAAAGAATGTTGAGGTTCTCGGTGAACCCGTGATCCGCCTGAAACAGAAAAGCCTCTTCACCAAACTTCTTCAATCCCCGACTTTCCTCCTCTTCCTCTTCCTCTCTCTCTCTCACTCTCTCTCCACCTAACCTCTTCTCTTTCCCCCTTTTCCTTTCCTTTCCCTCCTTCTTTGGGACTCGGTGGCTTGACTGTGTTTGACACACTATTGCTTCAAGTCTCAATTTCCTTTCGTTCCAGGCCTTAATTTTTCGATCTCAAATTTCCGAGGTGCAGCCCACTGGACTGGTCTGTGCCATCGAACGAGAGAGATCTGGATCTTTTCAGCGTCATCTGATACCTTAGGATCTTAGCCTGGATCCTGGTTCAAGGATTTTTTGATTTTATTTGTTACGCAAACTCAGCAGGTCCTGCAGGTGTTTTGCAGTAATCATTTCCCCCCACTGTATTTACTAGTCCTCACAACACGTCGCCTTAAAAACCATGGCCAGTCATATCATTGGAAATCGCAACAGCACTCCTGAAGCATCAAATTCAACTCTCCGTCCTCCATCTTCATCGCGAAACCTCGGATCGCACCAGCTGCGGGCGTCGGCAGACATGTCCGGGTTTCCTTCGCCGCTGTCCGCCCGAAGCATCCGTCCATCATCGGAGGTCTTTTTCAACCAACAAACCCAAGGTCAGAACGCGACGGAAGATGCTTTGGACCGTGCCGCTCAACAATGGCTTGCGGACATTGATCAGTACGAAACTACATTGGAAGAAATGGCAGCTGCCACGCTTGATCAGGATTTTAAGGATGAACTCAGTGCTATCGAGCAATGGTTCCGTGTTCTGAGTGAAGCCGAGAGAACCGCGGCCCTATATGCTTTGCTGCAGCAGACCACTCAGGTGCAGATCCGGTTTTTCATCCAAGTCCTGCAGCAAATGTCTCAAGGTCACCCGATGTCCGGCCTGCTCTCTCCTGCCAATTTTGGCGAAAAGGGTATGACAAATTGTCCATTCGTCTTTTGGATGTAACTAACTTACTTTTCGTTTAGATGCCATGTCCAGCCGTCTGAGCGATGCTATGTCGAAGCTTAATATGGACACCTCTTCCCGGAACTCCCTCGGACGACCCCCGCCATCCCCCGGCGCGAAGCGCAACTCTGTCCTTGACCCTTCCACCATCAATGCGATGTTCCCGGATGCTGCCGCGGCCATTGCGAAGAAGAAGGCCGAATTTACCCAGCAAACCGGCAACGCACCCCCTTCCAACCGCAATAGCGCAGTCTTTGATCGTGCCTCTTTCGTGGCGCCCACCATCTCGGCGCCCGACAACAACTCGGACGGTCTGGGCCAGCAACCTGGCTCTCCGTGGGCTCAGCGTGGTGTTTCAGACACGCAGCCTCCGATCGCTAGGCCCAAGTCATCCTCCGGACACCAGCCTATGGGCCAGTTCAGCCAGCCCTCTGGCATGCGCTCGCCTCTCCCCCAGACTGCCAACATTCCCGCTCCCGATATCGAGCCCCCCCTGCTTTCGCCATACAACGTCGGCAACCACAGCTGGGCGTCAATGACCAACACTCCGATGACTGCGACTTTCGGTCAGCAATCGCACCAGAACCCCAACACCCAAGCGGATATGGTGGCCAATGCCACGGCAATGAAGCTGGCAGCTTTGTCGACGGTGAACAACCGCATTGCTCTGGATGATGCGCGCAAGTACCGCCGTGCTCGCTCCAATGATGGTCAGGGCAAGAACTCGCATGGAAACCCGATGCTCTCCCAGGGCTTGGCTAGCCCAGGCCTGGGTGGACAGCACTTGGTCGCCGGTCAGCTCCTCAACTCTCAGCAGCTGGCAGCTCTGCAGGCTCAGCAACAGGCGGCTATGGCCGGTGGACGGTCTCGCCCAACATCGCCCGGAATTGCTATGCACGGTGGTGGTTTGACTCCCATGGGCTTTACCTCACCGCAGAACAATGGGTTCCTGGCGGCGTATGATCCCAACAACCCTCTTATGGGCAATGGATTGGGCTCTTTGAACATTGGGCAGTTTGGTCTGGGTAGTGAAGGCTACCTGTCAGACCACTCGGAGGTTACACGAGGCCGCTCTCCGCGGGGTCGCCGTGGTAGCTCGAAGCCGCCCGAGGACCCCACAGACCCGGCTCTTCTGAAGGATATCCCCAGCTGGCTGCGATCCCTCAGGCTGCACAAGTATACCGACAACTTGAAGGATCTCCAGTGGACGGAACTGGTCGACTTGGATGACAAGGCCCTGGAAGATCGCGGTGTCAACGCTTTGGGTGCACGCAACAAAATGCTAAAGGTAAGCATTGCTTGATATTTGATTCTGATCATCCACTAACATTTCCATCAGGTCTTTGAGCAGGTCAAGGAGGCCCGTGTTGATGGTAAATTCGAAAATCTGGTTTAATGTGAAATTTGAATTTAAAGTCAGCGACATCATGGTACTCGCATTTTCTTTCTGCTATGTTTCGCAGCATAATCGAGGACAAATGTATCAAATGGTGTGATGTGAACAGATTCATGAGAAAGGCTCAGGATTATTGAACATTGGATTCGGGTTAATAGTAGATATGAACATGAATTATTTGATTTACGTTAAATACTCTTCTAAATTGGGTTTGCGCTCTTGAATGTGGTGTAGTGTAAGGTAGTATACTAAGTCGGAATATCACTTTGGGAACCAGGTGGAAGTGGCCCGTGCACTTCTAGAAACTCGCTGCCACCTCCGACCTTCATCTGTTCAAGCCGAAAGCTGCTGTGTCCACTCCTCCACGAGAATATCTCTTGGTGCAACGATTTCACCGTCATCGAAGAGCAACACCCCTGTGATCTTGGTCAAGCTCAACAAACCTCCGCTCAAGGCGTGATCAGTACCCGCCACGAACACCGAGAGCCATAGCTCGACCTCTCAAACCAAACATCAACTACAACAAATCGGGAAATAAAAAGACACCAAGCCAGCCAAAATGGCACCCACAAAGCAGGAACTCTCCCTGCTAATCACCCCTCTCGTACCCGAGGCCGTCCAACACAACAACCGCGTATGACATTCCCACATCCCACATCCCATCCAACCACCCCTATCCCACATCCATATTCCCTACACCAATACCAGATCCGGATCCACATCCTCCATTCTAATCGCACACAAACTAATACGAAAAATAGGTCCTCTCCTCCCTCCACAGCCTAACCTCCTTCCTCCTCGGCCTATCCGCCGGAATCCTAGCCCTGCAATCCGGCTACGGCTTCGCCTTCTACTTCCTCGGCACAATCCTAGTATCAGGGCTCTTCCATGCGGTTCTGCTCCACCGCTCCAGTGGCGCAGGTGCCGGCTCGTTCTTTCCTGGTAGTAACACTGGTGAGATCGAGGGTGTTATTGAGATGGATGAGAAGAGTAAGGCTGTGCGCATGCAGCTTGGTGGGAAGGCTGGTCCCAGGAAGATTCTTCGTAAGGGTGCTTGGAGGGATGTTTGGTTTGGTGGTGGTGTTATGAGCGAGGCGCTTAGTGGGTTTGTGCTTGGGTGGGCTGGTGTTGGGGGTGTTTTGAGGTGAAAAGAAAAGAAGTATCGGCTGGTAGGATCTTGGATTCTATTTAAAAGCTTGATGGATTTGTTGGGGATGTTTAGGGGTTGTATATGCTCTGTAAAAATTGAATTGTTGCATTTTAATTGATACTCAGGGACTATTTTTTCTGAGATGGTGGTTTTCCTATCTTGGTATATCCTAAAGCATGTCTGCAGGTTGGAAGCTCATTTTGAGTATTACGTTGCTGGGCAGATATCAAAGGTCAAGACTATGGCCCAAGGCCTTCAGCATATATATAGATTGTCTTGAAAAGCAACTAAAGATCCAAAAAATACACCAGATGCTGGTTCATTCCTCCTTCTCACCCGCAACCTCATCAACAACCTTCTCGAACTCTTCCAAAACCTCCTTAGAAACCGGATAAGTATACTCAACCGAAGGAAATGCTCTACTCTTAACCTCGTCCCTATAAGCCTCAACCCCCCTCCTCGCCTCCCCCCAAACATCCGCATAAGTCTTAACGAACTTAGGCAAAAACCTTCCCTCCGGGAAATTCCCAAGCATATCAACCTGCACAAGCACCTGCCCCGAACACCCATTCCCAGACCCAATCCCAATAGTCGGCACGCTCAGCCGCCGCGTAACAATCTCTGCAATCCCAGGCGGCACAGCCTCAATAAGTACCATACAAGCACCAGCCTTCTGCACGGCCAATGCATCCCGCAGAAGTTTCACTGCGCCCGCGGCTGACTTGCCCTGCACACGGAACCCGCCTAGCGAGTGCTGTCGCTGCGGTGTTAGTCCGATGTGTGCCATGACGGGGATCCCGGCTTGTGAGATCTTGCGGATTGTTGATGCCATTTCCGCTCCGCCTTCGAGTTTCACGCCTTTCATTCCGCCTTCTTTTACCATTCGGATTGCGGAGGTTAAAGCTTTTTCTGGGGTTGTTTCGTATGAGCCCATTGGTAGGTCTGCGATCTATAGGGGTTATGAGATGTTGATGCTCGGTGCGTTTTGGTGGGGTGGGGTGGCGTGTAGTATGTATTCGGGATGGGTTATGCGTATACTTACTGTAAAGGCACTCTTGACGGCGCGGTTTACGCTGCGACAGTGGAGGAGCATCTCGTCCATTGTTACTTCATTTGTATCTTCCATTCCCATTGCGACCATTGCGAGGCTGTCGCCTACGAGCACGATTTCCATTCCGGCTGTGTCGGCGACATGGCCGCTTGGGAAATCGGACGCTGTGAGGACTGTGATGGGTTCGTTCTTTTTGTAAAGGCTTTGAATTGTCTGGATTGTTACTTTTTTGCGTGTGCTGGTGGTTGTTGAGCCCATTGGTGAATGGGAGCTATATTGTGCGATGCATGATTTGATTGCTGATTGACGTGAAGGACTGGCCAAGCTTCTGAAGTACAGTGCTGGACGTCTAAGGCAATTGACTGCTTTTAAAGTCATTTTGAATTGAATATGTTTTAATAGATGCCTGTACAAAAGGAACGAGAGGTGAATATAAGAAAAATATCTCAAGTTGACGTTCTGGTGGATGCGGCGTAGTTCGCAGTACTTGGAACTATGGGGCACAGTTGAACCTCGGCCATCTATATGCCTCGCTTGTTGACTCCTCTTTTGTCTCTTTGTCTATTTCTCTATTTGTCCATTTATTTATCCATTTAAATTCTATTAATTTACAGGTGGGACATCCTAACATCATACGATATCCATAACCCCAGGCATACCCACCCTAGAGCTTCTTGAGCAGCTTCATATCAGTCTTCAGCCGAATAGAAAGCCCAATAATAGAAGCAACAAGAGCCATTGCACCAGCATAGAAAATAGCCGGACGGTACCCTGTAATACCCTTATTCTCCCCGCCAGCAGCATCGAGGATAAACCCGGCAATGGGGGCGCCCTGTATGCATAGTTAGTACTGCAAGCTCATATATCAAACTACATCCACAACCACAGCCAATCAACTTACAAGCAAATACCCCCCAGCCCAACCCGTCACAACCATCCCCATAACAACAGACACCCTCGCCGAGCCAAATGTATTTCCAACAACGGTAGGCATAGTTGAAAAGAAGCCTCCATTCGCCATACCGTTGACAATAACAAAGACGACCAACGGCCCCAGTGAAACCGATATAGGCCAGATAATCAGCATACTCAGCGCGCTTAGCAGGAGAGAAATGAATAGCGTATTCAGCGGTCCGACGAAATCACTGCACAGTCCGCAAAGTAATCTACCCAGTGCAGAGGAAAAATTGAATGCTGCGACGATGCCTGCTCCAGTGCCGGATGACATCCCCAGTGAAGCTGTGAAGAGCGGTAGGAAGAAGGGTGGGACTAGGAGGGGGAATGTGGCGATTGCTCCCATTGCAAACAGGAGGACGAAGCGAATGTCACGGAATAGACGCCTGTAGAAGTCGTTAATTCTGGGGATCAACAAGGACAGTATAGCAAAGCGAAAAGCAATGCAGAAATTTAGCAATGTAGGTAGTAGAACGCACCAATCCACAACAGCCGAAGGCGGAATCGGAACTCGCTGCTTAATCAAATACGCAGCTGGCAAGCCCGTGGCCCAAGTAGCAAACCCGATAATCCGGAACGTCCACTGCACGCCCACGCGCTCGAGCAGCGCATTCATCACGAAGCTAATCACAGCACCGCCAAGTCCACCCGCTGCATAGACGATGCCATTCGCGATTCCGCGCTTGGCTCGGAAATACTGCGCCGGTGTGACGGAGACGACCATGAAGCAGAGACTAGTAACGCTGGTTAGTAACAATTTCCCAGGCATGGAGCTCTGGTATATATCCAGTGCCCACAGATACTTTATATACATGGACGCGAGTCCCAAACAGGATCAATTCTCACCTAATACCAGTCCCCATAACAATCCCAGCCGTAGCGAACAAGCCCCCAATATTCATCGCCGAGAACCCACTCAGCACCTCCCCAAGACCGAGAAAGAACACACCCGCAATGGCCGATCTGCGCGTCCCGAGTTTACGGATAATGCGCGCATTTAGAATACCCAGGAAAGAGATGCATGCCGTTGCGAGGGATCCGACAAATGCCAGCGTTGATGATGATGATACGCCTTCTTTGACAAGCGCAGCTTGAAGAATTCCCCAGCAGTAGGAGGTTCCGATGAACCACCATGTTACCACTGCGCATCCTGATATCACGACCCAGGCTTCGCCGCCGTCTGGGACTTGGGAGTCTGCTAGCAGGGATTGTTGCATTATGTCTGTTTCGGAGGGGGTAGTTGAGAGGTCATTTTGGGTTGTTCGTGCGGGTCTTTCTTCTAGGTTTGGTTTTAGGTCTTGGAGGGAGATTCCGGTGCTTGTTGATTGGGGATTTGCCATTTTGGTGCTGTGTAGCTCTCCTTTGGGGGATTGAGAAGGGAGAATGAGATGGGTGTGAAATATCTGTTTTATGGAATAAATACCATGGATCCACCTAGGGAACCCTTTTGCTGAAGAAAGTTAATTGGGAAAATTATATATGCCCGTGATATACATCATAGATGTTTTTGGAAGTCGCTAGTCCAAAATAGGAAACCATCTTGATTCTAGAGGTCATCATGTTAACTATCTTAACCTTTGCAGTCCTTAATTACATACATTGAAACTTGTTGAACTATCAAAGCTTTCGCTTAGCTCGAGTAGCACTTGGAAATATTTAGACAAAAAGACAAGGTAGAGCTGGAAATTTGCCGATATGTGGATCAATTTGGGGTTGCGCGGTTAGGCTCGGAAGAAGTGGAGATCACTAATCTGTAATAGGGCGTGGACGAGGATGACCGATTACGAATCAGATATTTGACACCTGGACACATCCGAAGGCTGGTTTACTAATGATGGGTTACATGGAGGTTTGTTAAGGAACTACGAAGTATGAAGGTCATGTTCAAATGATAAGGTGGAATAGATTCACCAATTGTCTATCAAAGATAGATATATGTAAGCAAAAGGGGTATGTATCTCCCTAGGAAGAAATCAAGGAGCCAAGTCCATTCCAAACAATCCGTTTCTTCCCAGATGCAAAAGAGTTAACAAGACTCAGACCAAATAAACCAACACACGCGAACCAAGGGAATAGTGCTGAAAGAATATATCACAACAACAGGATGTCCAGACAGTGCCATGGAATACATCCAACATCGACAGTGCTAAGTGACAAAACGTATAGAGGGGAGTGAAATGACAAGAGCGAACACGATATTAACAGGTCATAATCGGGGTATATCAGATCAGACTCCAAGCCAGGGAGGAACAACTGATCGATGCAGACACGTAGCAAGCAGGAGATGCAGTGTAAATCGAGGAAATGAAGCGCAAAAAAAAAAAACAAGAAAAGAAAAACAAGACGAATCACTCGATGTGGGGGATCACATCCGAGGAATTGGCAACGGCACTTTGAAGAGCGCTGGTCAAGTCGATGTGGAAGAAAGGCCGGTTCATGCCCTGCACGAGCGCAACCTTAGGACGACGCTGGTATGCCTTGCTGTCCGTGATATCGCGGTTGAACTTGTCCTCGCGGATGACCTCGGAGTTCTCGGACGCGGTCTCGATGCCGTCGGTCTCCAATGCGATGGTGTTGGATTCAGACTTGAGACCGGATTCGATATCCGTGTTCTTGTGGAGGGACTGTTCGCGTTGGTTGGCGACGATTTCGGCGTGGGCGGCGGCTGAGGCGTTGCCTTCAATCTCGGCCACGCTGAAAATGGGTTTCCACCGGTGGAAGCCGTCGCTAGCGACGGGTGTCGGGTAACCGAAGCCTGCGGCAGCCAGGCCGCGCTTTGTCCAGCGGTTGTTGATGTGTGCGAAGTGCCATTGAACGGTGCGGGGGGAGGCATACATATCCAGCTGGTTGCGGACGTCGATCAGGTTCTGAATTGAGGTTACGTCGACATTGTTCACGGATGAGAAGTCCAGAATGACGGCTTGGAGAAGGGGCAAGTGTGAGTCGTCGTCGCTGCCTTTCTTGCCGCGGCGGGGACCAGCGTCATTCCAGGGACGTTCACCACGGTTGCTGTAGGCGTGGGGGTTCGTTCGGCGGGTATTCTTGAAGATGTTTTGAACCAGGGAATCGGTGTAGTGGTTGGCGTTAGGGTAGTTGAAGCCTTCAGCAAAGCGGTAGATGAAGATGCCAGGAAGGGGCTGCTCCACTTCGATATCGGGGTTGGAGCCATCAGTGTGGTTGATGGGAAGGAAGATGGTTCGTTGGTGGTGATCCTCGTCGTCAGAGGGAGACTTGTTACTTCCGAACGATCCGTACTTTCCATCGCCATCCAACAGGTGGTCTCCGACAACGGAGTGGATAGTGACACGGCCCAGGAACTGACCGCGGGCCTTGGCCACTCGGAAAAGCAGGACTGCAACCGAAACACAAACTGTGCAGTAGATACCATTTTCAATGGAACTAAAGATAGTGACAATGACACCAATAAAGAAAATAATCGCATCAAGCGGAGATACGCGCCAGAACTGGTAAACAGTGTTCGGGGGAGTGATCAGATCGCCAACGGCGTGGATAATGACACCAGCCAAAGAAGCCTTGGGGATGTAGAAGAAGAGAGCGGGAAGGGCGTAGATAGCCAAAAGCACCACGATTGCGGTAATGACACCAGCAAGGGGTGTTCGCACTCCGGCTTTAGATTTGATAGCTGTCCGGGAGAAAGATCCAGTCGCGGGGTAGCCACCGAGGAAGGGCCCGAGAAGATTACTCACACCAATGGCCACAAACTCCTGAGAGGGATCGATAGTGTAGTTGTTGACACGACCGAAAGACTTGGAAATGGCAATGTGCTCAATCAGAAGAACAATGACCGCAGCCGGAAGCTCGCCAATGAAGTCCTTAATGATCTTACTATCCATAGTCGGCACGGCGGCTTGCTGGAATCCTCGAGGGACGTCCCCGAGGAGCTTAAATGCCGGGTGGTCCCTTCGGTGCAAGTTCGTGGCGGCACTAATCATAGTGTAGAACAAGATCACAAACACGGTCCGAAGAGTCGAGATGAAGAACCACATCTTGGCCCTAGCAGGCTGCTTCTTCGCGGCGTAAGTGCATGCGGACCGAATAATGTACAGCATTGCACAGGCAGTGACACCCATAGCGGCATCTAATGTCGAACTGGGGAGGTGTTTGAGGGTGTTGATAATGACCATGTAGGTGGCACCGCGCGTACTAAACTTGGCCGTCTCACCCAACATAGTTGGAACTTGTCCCGCGCAAATGCTGATAGCCGAGCCGGTCATGAAGGCCGAAATAGCGGGGAGAGAGATGAAATCGACAATGAATCCAAGTCGCAGGAGACCCATCACTAGAACAATACCACCGCAAATGATAGCAAGAGCGGATGCAATCAAATGGGCAGGGTAACCGGGGTTTTTATCCTGGACTTCAGCCACAATAGTTCCGGTAAGAGTTGACATAACGGCCACGGGCTATGAGATGAGGTCAGTAATGTTATTTTAGTTTTCAACCGGTCGCAGTCTCACTCACCCCAATGGTAATATCCTTTGACGTGGCAAAGAACCAATAGATCAAAACTCCCATGAACGAGGAGTATAGACCGTACTGTACCTCCAGTCCAGCCAGGTTAGCATAGGCCATACCCTGTGGCACAACGACCGCTCCCACGGTGATACCGGCAACCAAGTCACCGTACAGCCATGTTAGGTTGTAGTTGCCAATCCATGTGAGGAAAGGGAATAGACTGATCAGATATCTGCCGACTTGGGCCCCGGACGGGGTGATCTCGCGAATCCAATCGATACTTGTCGGCTCGGGCTCGTTGTATGAATATGTGTCGACGGTGCCCATGGAAAATGCCGATTCTCCTCTTGTAACGGTCTCACCGGTAGCACCCAGAGGATCTCTGTATGCGAGCTTGATACCGAGGACCTTGGCCAAGGAATGGCCAATATTGGAACTGGCCTCGCCCGATTTTCCGAACATGATGAATATGCTTGTACAGACCGGTATTGATAATATCAAAAGCCGGGATTGGACGAAGCTTCACCACAGAGGACGATGTGTGTTGACGGAAGTTTGGAAAGATGGAGTCTCCCAAAAATGTGGTAATGATCAGGGATATAAAAAGAATGTCAAATCAGACGATCACGCAGTTTGCATGGCGCGACAAAAGAGTTAAAAAAAAAAAATATTAAAAAAAGGCAAAGAATGTGCCTCGGGTTGGATGCGTGATTCGATCGCAAATGGCGCAATATCTAAGCTCCCCAGATTCAAATTAAGATTTGCCCCAGTGGAAATTTCCGCTTAGCTCGCTTGAATCAAAGTCGAATTCACGCAAGGGTTATACGAGAGCTGGACTTGCACAAACTCGTAAAATAGTCATAAGAAAAAAGCAAAAATTGGTTGAAAGCGAGCCCACGTTGTTAAAAACCAGGAGGGATTTCACGCTGCCGGGTCCACCGATGATCCGAGTTGATCAAAGTGAGTGTAAACCGACAGGTTACCAACAGGTTCCACACGGTCTGGAAGAATGACGACGGGTCGTGGAGTATATCCGTTTTTAACATGGGGCCCATGGTCGACATGAGACGGAATACTTGGCTTATTATGTGATAGTTGTTTCAAGCACTGTCACAGCTGTCACAGTTGTTAAACTATTGAACTATTCCTTGTTCTCATGACATTTAACTCACCTGATCATATAAATCGTTTAAATTTGATAAATATGAACGTCCTCGATGACTAAATTGGGGACCAAACTGCAGGAGCCGTCCGTAGTGCCAAGAAGGGTGGATGACGAATGACAACGCGCCTCAATGAGATTTGCCCCAAGAAGATCAACCAGTGGGGCTATCAGGCCAATCACGGACCTTCTAGAACGCGCAATCTGGAGTCGAGATGGTGAAAGGGAAAAATGAGGTTCCACGTTTTGAATGGTACGTTTGTGGTGGATTTTGGTGGATTTGGGTGGATTTTGGATTTGATTGTTTCAAGAATCTTCTTAGCTGATTAACTTTATTCCACCGCCTTTAGATATCATGTTACATAATTCTAAAGCTTCATTTGATTTTTGAAGCGAACCGTACTCTACAATATGCCCATAGCTCCCCACTCTGACCTCGGGATCTAAATCATATTGATCATCTGCCGCGTGGTCCCGTTACGGAATGGTCCATTCATATTTAAATTAAAGATAAACAGCTCGCGTGGGGTCTATTTGGGCTCGGGGCTACTCTATCTGTTAGGTGCATATGTAGGAGAAAACGCCTGTACGGAGTACCCATTTTCCTAATAGATACGGAGTACTCCGTAGACAGTTGCTTTTTTACATAGCCACATCTCTGAAGTGATCGACCTTAGTAGAACGTTGGCTACGCTCGCTAATATAACCCAGTACTCCGTACGGAGTAGAGGGAAACCAAGCCCGTAGGGTGTAGTTGCCTTTTTTTATTATAACGGCGAACGGCCAAGGGTTGAGGCATATACTTAACTTTGATATGGAGCTTCAAATATGCATGTCTTTCCCCTGTCTCCTGCATCCTTTTCATCCACTCTTCAAAGGTGCAATCAAGATCTAAATCACGCCATCGAGCTTTATCCTTAGCCCGCGTCTAGCGGAATATTCCAACAAAACCAAAGTACTAAAGCAAGTGTTACCTACCTACAGAGTACTCCATACATCCGTAGAGCTGCGCCCTTAACTTAAAATATGGTGCCACGAGGCTACCCATGCTACTCTTGGCCATTCCAACAAACGTATCAGCCATCTCTGTTTACATCTTCCACTTTGGTGGCTTGCCAGTCTTCCTAGTCCATTCCTCGGCACTTTCGACCATATCATCCAAGATATTCCTTCCGGTATTCAGGCTACATAGGTAAATACCCAAGACGACTGGATTCTCTTGGCTACCAGACTAGATGTTATAGCGGCATACGAGAGAAGAAATAGGCGACAGGAAGAAGCAAAAAGGAAATAATGTGGCGTTCGCGCCGTTCTTCTTAGGCAGCTGACCCTAAGACATGCTCGGATCTGCAGCTGGTTAGGGTTGCATAGCCGTACTCATGCGAACAAGCATCTACGTTACACAAATTACATCGTACACAGTCCTTCTCCTCGGAGATGCTCTTCAGTTTCAGCCTCGTCTTGCCTAGACGGGGTCGCATTTGCCTTGTTTTATACGAGAACCGTGTCTTCTATATTGACTAGTGATCCAGGTGGTTGAATTATTGGCCTTTTTGATTCTTTTCTCGCCCTTGCCGCTAATATAACATAGCGTCGTTAAGCTCGTTCGGGATTCCGCGTTCTTGGCTTCCGAGTCCCCTTTTCGCCTATTCTACATCTGCATACGGGTTCTTGTGTATGATTTGGAGATCTTTTTACTGGAGCACGCCATGGAACATCGTCTGTCCCATCCCCCGTGTCTGTGTGACTGATGACACGAGATGTTCTAGGTGCTCGCTGGTCCCCCTGTGCATGTGTGTACAACATATATGCAGGGGCACCTATGTGGGGAAACCTGAAGAGGCGGCCCGAATGTATTGTACGTAAGGAGTATCCCTGGACCTTGGTGGGCAGTTGTTCGCCTATCACGCCTAATCCTTGTCCTTAACGAAGAGCTAGCATGATCATGAAATGGGGTGCAAATTCCCTCAGAGAAAAAAAAAGCACTAGTTCCAGGATTTACCCCGAAGGTTCTCCGGCCCTTACGGAAAACTGTTGCACCTAAGACCTCAGCCATGTTACTAATTACATGAGACTAGCTTTGTTTTAGAACATATGGTCACTTCCCATTCCGATACCGGTGAGCTCGGGGCATTGGGACGTAACGCACAGATATATATGGCTTCACAGCTTAAGATCAGGGCACGGAGTACTTGGTCGTAGATGAGCAATACTGATATTTCGCAATCGACACAATCCCTAGTATATCGTGATCGGACCCTTCTTCTTATTAGCTTGAAGTCAATACAAAGTAGAGTTGAATGTCTAGTGCCGGCCTAAGTCCTTAGTACTATTGCGTGCTAACACAATCGCGTGATTTATCTCGTCATCCAGGAAAGTGCAGATACTTTAGCAATCAATAAATTTTATTTGCCCCATCTACTTGAACTATTGATATCAGGGCGTATGAGAGATCTGACCGCAAGAATTTTACCACTATCCGCTAGCCACATCATTTGTCCAGCTCTAAATATCAGTTCATCAAAGTTGCTCCACAGACTCATGATATTGATCTGATTCAGGCAGGTGAGCCGGCTAGATTACTGTCTTACCACTCTCCGGTTACCTCAGAATTTGCGTTGAGACAAAGATCCGACTCTATGCAAATTGGGACTTGGCCAAAAGTCATGATAAACACATACTGCTAAGCAAGACAGATACCTCATTGCGCACATACCTCTATTGACTACCTGCTGAGATAGATGTGGATTGCTTATGATTTCAGGACAGCAGCTGAGCTTAGAGCAGTGGGTTGATACCTGGCTATTTCCGCGAATCCTCTTCTCTCCAGACAATTGACTCTCCTCTCTCAGTTTTCTTCGTCCCCGCCGTCTCTCGCCTCCCCGAAAAAGTCAGATAACTTCGATATTTTGAGGCTTCTTGATATTCTGGCGTCCTAGCTCCTCTTGAGCCTATCCAATAGTTCAACCAATACAGCACGCGAGGTATCATTCCACTCTGTCTCCCTCACAACACCCTTTTTGGTTGTCTCGAATTTAAAATGCTGCTCGCCCTGGTTTGATTTCTCCTTCTTTGCCAGTAACCTTTGGAATTCGGCATCGAAATAGCTTGTCACATTTGGCATCTTGGTCCCTTTCCCTAGATTTTTGAAGGCGGTTTTCATATTCTCCGGGCGGCGGAAGAATGAGGGCTCGGGGGTGGGATTATTGACCAGAAGGTCACAAGAGAGGAGGAGACCCGCAAGACCTGAGGCGGCAGCTGTAGCGATGGAACTGCCGGATTCATGGGTGAAGGTGCCTTCCTGGTTCTCGAAAGGAATATCTTTACCGGGGAAGAGGAAGTCGACTAAGCCTTCGCGCACCCACGTGAGGGCGCGGCCGGAGGGGTCGGCACCCCCGATCTTGATACAGTTACCCGTGTACGCCGGGTAGCACTGTTCCTTTGACACGATTCCCTGATCGCTCGCCGAACAGATTATTAGGATATTTTTGGCGTGGGCTTGGTCAATTGCTTTGACAAGGTCTTTGATATCTTGGCTGTCCGGGTTACTAGATTCGATGGTCCAACTGATGGAGATAATGTCGACATTACAAGCGGCGGCCCAGGAAATGGCCTAATTCGAAAGGAATTAATGATCAGCATTGTGTTCGCCCCGCTGAGACTAAATTTATCAGACATACCTCTGCTGCCGACTTAGCGGTGATTTGTCTCTTCCCATCACCGAGTGGGTTGGAATGTTCATCTAAACGGGCAATGTACAGGCTAGGATTGGGACACAGCTTGCTGATTAGAGTTGCCATCCAGGTCCCGTGCATTCCTGAGGGTGCAAAATAGGCACTCATGAGATCTTTCGAGTTGGGATGTCGGCAGAAGGAATTCCCGCTAGTGATAATTTTCTCAAGGATGGGGAGAGAGGTATCGACCCCATCATCAATGATGGCGATCTTCACTCGCGGGCCGTCGTGCGACTTGAGCCTCGGCGAGTTGGCCAAAAATATTTTGAAGTCTTGCAAACAATCAATCCACGGGCTGTTTCCTTCGTTGAATCCTCGCATATTGGAGAAATCCGAGACGAAACTCACTGCCATATCGTCCTTGTAGGCATTTACCGTTAATGATTTTTCCTCCAATGCCTCCTTGAACGCATTAAGATTGGATTCAAGTCTCTCATCAGTTTCATTTTCCTATGTTGGGTTAGCTCCAGTTTGAAGAATTGTTTTGACTCTAGGGGAATGTACCCATCGTATGTACAGATTCACCGTTTCCAGCTATTAGATCATGTTAGACGACCCCTTTATGAAATTAGGTGAGTTAACAAGGGAACTCATGCGTTACCTCAGGAAATTTTTCGGCGTTCTTGAATCCCGCAGGACTAGCCCATCCCATTAAGACTGCATTGTTGCCCGAGGAATAGAGCGAAATCTCTTTCACAGACCTACTGGATTTTGAAATAGTGTCCGAACAGATGTCTACCTTCTTCCAATCCCAAACCTGCACGCCAAAGCCACTCAATGCCCCTTCAATGGCGGTGTCACTATGGTAAGGATGCTCATCATCAATGACTATCACCTTGATAATTTTCTGCACACCGTTATCTTGGAGCCAGCGGAAAACTTCTTGTAAATCAGTTCGGCCTTTCTGAGTGGGCAGGGCTTTTCTACATGAATGTGTCAGTGTGGGCGCCATCTTCACCGAGATCGGAAAATGGTCTACCAACCTTGTTGTGCGTTTCACCTCTTTAGGTGCCTCAAACGTAAGCCTAGGCAGAGCGACATACTTGAGAGTACTCTCAAATCGGATATGTCTGGCTAGTCCTTGCAGATAGGCTCTCGTGATGGCAAGGTTGGGTAGTCCGGCCAGGTCAAATTCGATGTGCCTTTCTGAGACTCAGAATGCCTATTAGGACGCACTATTCTATATGAACAGGATTTTGTGACGTCTCTTACCTTCGCCCGCCCGGTACAAACACTTCATGGTGGTTTGTCGCGAACTGTTCGACATACAATACTCTCGAATATAATTGGCGAGCTTGTCTTCCACGAATATTGCTCGGAAAGCGTGATCCCTCTTCTCAAACTCGACACGATCAAGGATCTCCACCACTTCCTCATCAGCGCTGAGAAAAGACTCGCGAAATTGGTAGGGAGTCCGCCCGTCCCTATCTGTGCATTTAAGGCTATCGTCTGCTGCTTCAACAAGCGGCCTGATGACCTCGTCGAGCCATTCTTGCGTTTCGTTCAGGTTCAGATCAGCCGATGCAATCGGCGGCTGCCTAGGCTGCGGACCGATGGGGGTCATCAACCCTGTGCTACGCTTGCTGAGGAGAGAAGGCAGATGAATTCCTTCTTTCGTATGCGCTGGGTTTCTCAAAAATCCTTTCTCCTCCAAAACTCGACCAATTTCATCTTGTTCTGGCTCAAATCTCAATGCTAAATGAAGTGGGGTGGATCCATCAAGACTCCCCTCCATGAAGAGCTTGGGGATACTTTTGCACCTCTCGATAAGGCCCTTCAGGTCGGAAAATCCATGTTCGATTGCAAGATGGAGGCAATTCTTCCTCTCCGGTGTGGATTTCCTCAGCACTTTGTCTAGGTTCTTTGCCTCGTCAAAGTTGAGAACTATTTCCACAAACTGGTGATTCTCAGTAGCAAGCGCCTTATGCAATGGTGAAATATTTTCTCCACCTTTCTCCAGCATCTCCGGGTAGTTCTCCAGGAGCCAGGTCAAGGAGTTCTTAAACCAGGAGTCATTGGTTTTTGTCTCGGCCATTTGGTAGAGGATTCTTTGCCCCTTCCCGTTAAGCTGTGCCTTAAGCTCTTTCGTTGCTTCGGCATCACTGAAGTTTACTTCTCCAAGACGCTTGAGGATGTCATGGGTGTCATCATTCACCACGTACTTTACCCGCCTTCTCCCTATACTCAAGTTTGTAGGCTTCTTTCTGTCTTCCTTTTTCGGATCCAGCTCCCTAATCGGCACTGTATTTCTGACCATATTGCGAGAGGATTGGATTTTCCGTGAAATAGGGGTGTTGAGGTTGGTGACTTGAAATTTACCTTGAAGGGAAATGACGGAAGAGCTATGCACGGCATCATATTTCAGTCAGATCAATATTCTGCACGATACCTAGCGTAAAGTCTTTTGCTTATGCGACGTAACATATGCAGCATGCAGGTATCCTTGCTATCCATCACATCTCACCGCATATAGCCCCTAGCCAGCTCACCGTCAAACGTCACTCACAAACAAGGTCTTATCGCAGTAAAATATCATCCGGCGACTATCATATGAGCTATGAATCCAATTGGATGTACGTTTATAGAGATTACAATGATGGAGGGGGCCTTCCCCAGCTACTCTGACCCCTCTAGGCTCAAGTGATACTTCTACGCTTAAAGTTCTTATGAAAGAGGGTGTGTAGCCTAATGCTACCGTAACTCACACTTTTTTTTGTTGTCTAGATGGTTATACACAGAACCACCTCGCTATAATTGTCTATAGAGTATTGCTTAATACATAGGTATCCTTCTGGTTTTAGCTTTCATTGGATGAAAGGGATGGGAGTGGCTAGGGAGAAAGGAGGGAGAAAGGTGGGAGAATGACGTGGTCCGAATAGCCAGGAAGGGGCGATGATGGGGGTCCCTGTAGCATCATCCTATAAAAGGTCCCGCCGCGAGCTTGCATATACCCTGATATTCGCCTTGTTATTACCTTTCTCCGACAAAAAAATCCCTACCATGGAAGACATCGACATATTGCTCTTGCCCCAAGGGGATGAGGGTTCAGGCTTTCGCACTCAAAATGTGGGCAATCAGAGGGCTCGCCGCGTTCTTGTCGACCGTGGTGACACATTGGTGGCCCGGTCGAGCATTGTCACTATCGATCATGGAACTTTGACACCTGACAATGAGGAGACAAACGAACTGGGAGAACCAGCTACGCTTCTGGTGTTCGAGTTTCGGTTCATTTGTCACAAACAAAGTCGCCGCTTCTGCAATGCGAAAATCACCCTCACCTTTGATGACGCTAGCGGAAATACCAGAAACCAGCCTGAGATTCATCGGATGTGGCCAGAAGGTGCATTCGCACTAAACAAGAAAACCACCACCCGGAACGTCAAACATACTGTCAGCGGGGGTCTGAGTGCTGGGAACAGCCCAATAACCGCAGGAAATCTCGGATATGAGTGGCAGATGGAGGCTCCGCAGGATCAGGTCCACTATACCAGTCTCAGAGGTATCAAGCGGATGTTCGATAAAAACATGGGCCGTGATAACGCGGTCATTTGGTCACTGGACGAAGATCAGCAAACAAATACGGGGATCCCTAGCTTTTTTCGTGCCGTCGTAATGTTGCGGCGGATTGACGATGTACCCTTTCAATTCACCATCAAAGTGCAGACAGAGGTCGACTTTGTGGGGTCTTTGCGGTCTTTACTGGGTCTCGAGCGTTCAGATCCCGTTGATCCTGTGGAGATAGGCACAAATACGGATTTGAAAGGGTTAAGTATCAACAGCCTAGGTCCGACAGTCAATCTGACACATCTTGACATACTCGATCTGAACAAACAGGCCGATGTAGTGCTCGCGACGGAGCTGAATATGCAAGGCTGAGCAACGGGCGGGGCATGTCCAACAACAACCCCTGTATGTTGTATCGCAATAATTGGCTTCTGGATTCTGCTGAGTTGTTTAATCTGTTATTATTGGGGCATTTCGGTTTCCACTACTTGTTGGATAAGCGCCCTACACCTGATTTTGGAAGACCGCATTGTACATGCATGCGTTCATGGATGTGACTATGTGCGATGGATGTTGGTATTTTAGTATCTAGCATTCTATACCGTGCAAAGACCTCCACCGTGATGCAGATTCTATCCGAACCAAGTTTAATATTACCTAGTCATCCCATGTAGCTAGTCACCCCCATCCCCCCAAACCCCCCTCACCATAAACAGAAACAGAGCCCACAATATTCATGACAAGTGATAATGGAAAAACTATTCCAGTAAGACACAATTCCGGACTGAAATGTTATTCCTGATTAGACATTGACCGATTCACAGTCTAGTTTGGATCCATGGCATCCCCCCACACGCTTCCAACAGCCAACGCACCCAATCCCTATCAAATCACTTCCCTCGGGCCACGATCAATCAATTTACCCTGCTAGGGGAATATACCGATGGGATATCACAGCCAGAGTTTCTCCAGCAGAGAGCACGGGATACATTGGAGAATATTCTGAGCGAAAGGCAAGATAATTCGGTCAGTTCCTTGTCCTGATATATTTTGCAACGTATTAGAACCTCACAAGACTTGGATAGGATCAACTTCCCATCGTTTTCATTGGACATCAGCTGGGTGGATTTCTCGTAAAGCAGGTAAACAATTATCCGATTGCATCGTTCGCCTCGTGAATTGAACACTAACCACCCCTGGTAGATCCTAGCCCTGGCTGGTCGAAGCCCACACTATGACAGTATCACTCTTCGAGTCGCCGGAATTGTATTTAGAGCTCTCCCTTCCAATCTGCCTTCCGGGGATATTTAATGGTCTGAATCAATTTGCTGACTCGGGTACAGCTTTACGTTGACTTTCCGAACCTTCCTCCGGATGCCGCACTCTGGCCCGGTCAGGTTATGGGCCTCCTAGCCAAGTATATCCCAAAGCAGATTGAAGGGCTACCAGACCTGTTGCGGACCCTTTTGGCCTCTTCCGCCACGGTCGAAACGGACTGTATTTTGATATCGCGGAAGGCCCAGATAATCACTGTTGTGAAACGGAAACACAACGGATTTCCCTCACCATCGGTATGACCCATTGTTCTTCTTCGTTAACCAGGTAGCTATTGTAAAACGCTTCGTTGGAACCCTAAATCTGTTGACACCCTTATTATCTAGGAAGTGACCCAGTTAGCTGGTGAGGTTGTGGAAATAAACCGTGATCTTGATGACATTTGTTGCACTGCAGGCGGCAACCGCGATGACGGTGATGACGATACAAAGATTGTCTACAACAAAATTAGAGAGTTGGGCGAATTCCATTCGCAGTGTGAGTCGAGCCATGCCCTTGTTTAAACGATATTGCAGTAATATCTGACCAAGGCCAATAGCACGGTATCTGGATCAAGTCGGACAGACTTTACAGGCATGGTCTCTCATAGATCCAGAAGCCCATCACGTGCGCTCCAACCATATCATCCCGGTATCTAACGTGCCATTGATCCCAGCTAGCAATGTATTTGTGGACCAGATGTGTAAGCCGAACGATGAGGTTCTCCAAATCAGAAGTCCTGAAGGATTTGGCTACATCACAGCTGCTTATCACATATCAAAACTTTCAGGAAAGCTCCGAGAGAGCGGGGCAGTTCTCAGTTATGCATTCAACCATCACCACACCGTGACCTGTACAGCACGAATGGTTTGGCTTTCACTTTGCCGACAGTTCCTCCTCCAACAACCTCTGTTATTCTCGCGCATATCTGGGATGGGCAGGGCAATAATCCGGTTGACATCGTTCTCCGAAGCGAATTTGAGAACCCTCTTTGTTAGTCTTTTGCAGCCCGCAGGGGAGCCTGTCTTTTGCGTGATTTATTCCTCGCAGATACACAGAAAGTCAGCCGAGGAATTCCTAAGGCAGCTCCAGAGTCTAGGGAGATCCCCGGCAACGCTGAGGATAATCCTTGTTCTTGAAGACGAGTCCCAAAAGGATGATACTGCATACAGCACCAATGCAGAAATCTCTTTCGTGAATAATGAAGATTGGTTTAGATCTTTCAGCGGCGAAATTAAAAAGCTTACTACCCGTCGTCTGATTGGAGAGAAACCTCATTGGTACATCCACGAATCTTCATTGATACAGACTCTGTCCGTGGTTCCAACTGCATATCTATTAGGGTTGGCTAAAATGGGCTGGGATGGATTACCTTCGTTACCGCGGATGAGGTCTACAATGGCAGACCTGATCCAATGCCTGCCAGCATCGCTGGAGGAGTGGTGTGAAGTGACACTCCAGATGATAGAAAAGCCCGAGAACCATTGGGCTCAGGCCGCCTTGCACTGGGTCTTACATGCGGTGAGACCATTATCGCCTCTAGAGCTTGCGGTTGCCGTGGCCTTCCGTAGGCCCGGGGAAACCAAGTCATGTTCAACGTTGAGAGATCACATTCCCTGCGATATCTTAGGGGATCTTGCAAAAGTCATCGGTCCGTTGATTCAATCTGCCGATAATCACATTTTCCTACATGACGCATGTCACTCTGTTCTTGTCCGACGATTTTGCCAAGTATTTAGCCACGAAGCCTTGCTTGAAAGTTGCCTTGACTATCTCGACCTTGTCCTCCCACAATTGAAAAAAGCGAGTTCGCACAACTCACTAGCCCCTGAGCTCGGCCTCCTCCGTTATGTCACGCTGTGTTGGCCTAGGCATTGCCAAGAAGACGAGTCCGACAAGTCTGTCATCCGCGCGTTTCAGTTCCTGTCCCGTGAGAAAGACTGTGGCGTTTGGATAATGTGGTATAACAAACTCGAGAGGAATGGGAATCCTATTCCCGAGGCAGAACAAACACCGCTTCAAATCGCCTGCCGCTTTGGACTGGTTGGGCTGGTGAAGCATTGTATCCCCATAACCAAGGTGGCAGAGAATGCACAGCCCATAATGGACGGAGCGATAGAGATTGCAGCGAGATATGGGTACGAAGAGATCATTAAGGTCCTTCTTTCCCATAGCGCTGTCGCATCCCCCATAGCCCTGAGCTTGGCCGTACGGACTGGATCAGAAAGCTGTGTAACCGAAATAATCAATGCAGGCGTCAACGTTGACCAGGAGGATAAAAAGAGCTACTCCCCCCTTCACTACTCTGTCTTGGCCGGCTTCCCTGGGATTACCGCCCTGCTATTGGCAAATGGCGCCACAATCGACAAGGCGGGTCCAGATGGGGCTACTGCCCTGCATCTCGCCGCAATGACCGGCCATAATGTGATGGTGGAAGGTCTCTTAAAGTCTAATGCAACAATTAACCTACCCGATGCCTCGGGATATGATGCCCTGAAAGCTGCTGCCCGTGCTGGATCAAGTGGGATTGTGAGATTGCTGATCGAAGCTGGCGCAAACCCGCACACTTTTGCAAATGACGGGAACAATGCCCTCCATGTGGCCTTGGAGGCCGGAGACCTGGCTGTTATCTCTATAATTCTTGATCGGACTCAAGATGTAACATCATGCAATCAAGCGGGGTACAGACCCCTAGATCTTGCCGCTCAACAAGGCAACCTCCATATTTTGCAAGAGCTGATTCAACGACTTGGAAATCCCAGTGTGGATAACATCATGCAATATGGTGATGAGTCTACGGAGGATACTTGGCGGTTCCCGGAAGACAGCAGACTGCCGCTGTTGGCAATTTCCGCTCGGCATGGCCACAGGGACATAATCAAATGGTTCCTTCAATCCTCTAATCGCATTGGAAGGGAGGCAGGTAGTTGGGCTATTTATGAGGCAGCAGCAGGGGGGCATGTCGAGGTCTTGGAGGAGCTTCTTCCGCGAGGAGAATCTGAGAAATGGCCTGTTGCTCTGGACCAAATGGGCCAGACCCCACTGCACATGGCAGCCAAGCGAGGGAATCGAGCAGCACTGGAAGGGCTTTTGGAATATCATCAATTCCATGTCGATATGACCGATGGCAGAAAATGGACTGCTCTTCACCAAGCAGCAGCGTCTGGTAATAACAGCATCATAGATCTTCTGATCGAGAATGGCGCTACCATAGCCTATGCAGATTGCGAGGAGAAAACCCCTTTGCATATCGCCGCCCAGCAGGGTCAACTTAAGGTACTGCAACAGCTCTTGACTGTTATGTCGGAAGTTGATGTGATGGATTCTAAGGGTGAAACTCCATTTTCTCTCGCTGTGGAACAAGGTCACACAGAGATCGTATCATATCTCTATGAGACTCATGACATCACCAAGGATCTAGGATATCACAAGCCTGTGCTCCACCGTGCAGCTCTGTATGGACATAACGACCTAGTACGGCTTTTCATAGACTATAAGTGGGACGTTAATTCCCGTGCAATATTTGGGCAAACGCCATTGCACTTTACGGCCCACAATGATCATTTGGAAGTCGCTAGTACGTTGATTGATGCAGGTGCAGATTTCAACACCGTTGATGAATTCGGGCGGACACCGCTATACCATGCGGCGTCACATAATTCTCCAAATGTCGCACAGCGGCTACTTAAAGCAGGGGCAAATCCCAACCCTCTGGACAACGAGGATGACACTCCACTGTATCAAGCAGCCTACAGGGGCAACCTGGAGGTAGTCAAGGTGCTTTTAAGTGAGTTGTTACACGAGGGGCTGAATCTCCAGTGTTCTGGAGGCTGGACTGCACTTCATGCGGCGTATGACTCTCCTGAAATTGTCAAGACTTTGTTGGCCGCGGGAGCCAATCCATTTATACTGGATAGTTATTCTAAGACATCACTTGCTTTAGCTTTCGAGAATAGCTATGAAGAAACATGCAACGAACTCATCTCAGCCATGGAAAAGCAAGCTCTACAGGATGTGAATTTACAAATGGCTGCCATCCATGAGATTGCGGCTGTGGGAAACATACAGGCTCTGGATAGGCTTTTTGTGAGCGGTGTGGATTTTGATATTCGAGGTGAAGATGGGGCAACTGCTCTTCATCATGCTTGTCGAAATGGACAAAAGGAGACGGTCGAGATGTTGATCCAGAGGGGTGCAGACATACAGAGAGTTAGCAGCCGCTGGGGAGCTCCTATCACCGCAGCGTCAGCGGGTGGCTCCGCTGAGATTGTGGAGCTGCTGTTAAGCAAGGGGGTTAAAATTAACAGTGTTAATGAAGAGGATGACACTGCCTTGACTCTTGCTTTGGCGATGGGGCATACTGAGATCGCCCGGTTGCTGCTCAAAAATGGGGCCAACCTGAATCACATGGGCAGGAAACATGGCTCAGCACTTAAAATTGCCATTGAACGGGAGAACTTGGACTTTGTGAAGTTGCTTCTTGAAAATGGAGCAAATTTTGCCATAGACACACCTGGATCCCCTCCATTACTTCATGTCGCTGCCCAAATCAATAACCGAGACATCATGGAGGCTCTCGTTGAGGCGGGGATGAATGACTTGGCTGTCCGTGATTCCGCCGGGCGCTCATTGCTTATTGTTGCAATTTTCAACAAAGCACAGCAAATCGTGGATTTCTTGCTCGAACACCGAGAACTCAATTTGGATGTGCAAGATGGAGCAGGGAGAACGGCCCTCATCATTGCAGCCGCTCAAGGGAGCCACGTCGTGACCGAATTGTTGCTTAGGAAAGCCAACCCAGACATTCCTGATATGGAAGGGAAAACAGCCCTAATTCATTCCATTCTGAGTGAAGACATCCAGACCATCCAGGAGCTTTTGCAGCATCAAGCCAGCCTGGCAGTATCAGACGTCCGGGGGCACAATCCGCTATATTGGGCATGTCTAACGGATAACACGGAAGTCTTTGAGGTCATCCTGCAGGCTGCTCAAGATTCAGAATCCCTCATTTCGCTGAGTGAATATGCCCTTCAAGCCGCTGTTGCTGTAAAGCGCTCCGACTTTGTGCAAAAGCTCCTGAGTAACCCCGATGTCAACCCCAATGCCCCGTCACCGGACGGATGGTCCCCTCTGTTTACAGCTCAACATCTCAAGCTACCAGAGATCGAGCGCCAACTGCTTGATGCAAACGCGGTTGAGGACGTTCCTACCTCCTCGGAGCCTTATCCTCGTCCATCTCGCTTCCATCCCCAAGATAGGCATGTGGCTTTACATGTCAGCGAAACTGGAAAGGAGGTGACCGTTGGTGGTATGTTGAGTTGGTTCCACCTTTCTTAATATACTAACTCAGTTACACAGCTTGTCCTATCGATCCCTATAATACCGATGAGCCTCACGGTGCCATCCGGTCTGATTATCCCATGAATGGCATCGGGTTCTTTTATTTCGAAGTAACCATCAAGAAAGGAGCGGCGGAAAAGTATGAATTCTCTACCAATTCCAAGTCCTGAAAGTCTACATTCAAGCTAATGTAAATGACAGCGTTATCGGGGTAGGATTTTGTGACGAGAAAGCGCCGCTTCATCACATGCTAGGTTGGGATGAAGGCTCCTGGGGGTATCATGGGGACGATGGAAAAACTTATGGACGCGGGTTTGGGATTGAATATGGGGACGTCTATTCCACGGGCGATACTATCGGCTGTTACGTCAATCCTAGTCGAGGAACTGCATTCTACACGATCAACGGCAAATCACTTCGTCAGTCTCCCTTTCTAGCCTTTTTGCCACCCTTGATTTATCCCCCTTTGATTATCCCAAATGCATTCGACTGACCAATGCAATATTTAAAACTACTATAGGCATCGCTTTTCATGGCTTGGAAGGGAAGCTTTATCCCGCCGTTTCTTTCGATACCAGAAGTCCCGGGTGTAGCGTCTCGGTAAATTTCGGAGATGATCAGACCCGACCATTTCAATTCCAAGGGCCATTTGACGATTTCGAGATCCCGAGACCCCCTTCCCCTCTTCCCGATGAACCAGCAGCAATAGACTCAATTACCAGAATGCAGCGAGCGTCACGACAGAGGAGGTTATTCAGTCAACTGCGTCCCATTTAATTGTATAGGGGCGCTGCTACGTCCATAATATGGGACAATCCCACAATAGAGAACACAAAAGTTCGAATTGAGGAAGGAACTGGCGAATCTTGCTTGGATTCTAATATACTGTAGTCATAGCACATGATTTACAATCTAGATAAAAGCAGGTTGCACAGCAGACCAGAATCTATGTTAGACCGGGAGAACGTTTCGAAGAGTTTATTAGACACCTATATATAGTACCCCCTCGCTCTAATAGCTCTAGATGTACAGTGGACTTATAGAATTTCACTTTCCCTCTATGAGAAGCTAATCCCTAAAGCAATATGCAAGCTACAACGGCTATATATCATGATAAACAAGTAAAGGTAGTCTCAATTGGGTGTTCTCTTGGCTTAATGGGCAGGATCGGCGAGATAGGGAGATGCTAGATAGCGAGAATGAAGAAATGTAATAGCTACCAACAACCTTGATAATATGCATTCGATGCCATTCTAGACACATTACCTCGTGTCATAGACGAGATAGTACGTAGGCAAGTCCCAGTGCACTCCGGGCAATTCTTCCCCTGTAGACATATCCTTCCAACCGCCATATGTAGAGAAGGCAAGATGGGAAAGAAATTATAGATTAAATTGAAGCTGTTGACTGGGGACAGAGGAAGGAAGATCAAGTACTCCGTAGATAAATGGAGGAGCGGCCTTAGGCAGTCAGGCTGTCTCAACACCATCTGGTGTTTAAATTGTCGTTGAATACCGAGTCTCATTAGTATTATTGCCGAGGTAAAGATGAATTGTCGTGTCAAACCACAAACCAAAAACCAAAAACCAAAAACTACAAACGTATATCTTCAGAATTTTGCCCCAATAGCCCACACCAACTCAACTACGAGTTAGCCATCCATGGGCGAACCACTCTTTCATGTACCCATTGTACATTGGTCAACATATCTACCATTGAATTTCACAGGGCGGCCTTGGAAGTCAGTCCCACAATAGCACAGAGGACCTTGAGGACTTCCAAGGAAGCTATCCCGTCGCATTCCCATCTCCTTTACTTCACACTTACAACTACACGTATGACTACCAACAACATCTCATATCAAACAAACCATCCATAGGATGAGCAAATGCATTGGAACGAAAACATACAATGTCTATTCAAAGGTCATCATCAGAGTGCAGGCTAACAAAAAAAAAGCACGAATCCATCATGATCACGCCGCGACCCTCGTCCCAAAGCTTCGTCCTAGGACAAAGTCAGCACGGGTAACATAGATCTTTTAGATCCGTTGGCAAGGGTCAGGCCCGCAATCGTGGTCTCGTCTCATCCATCTTTGATTCATAACTCTTTCCCATCGTCAGCGCAACTCCACCACACAAACCCCGGTTCCCATGGAAAACATAAAATGGGCGACAAAAGCGAAAAAGCAATGGAAAAGCAAGGATCAAGGACCCGAAACGTGTATGCAAAAGAAGAAGAGAATAAGAATTGGACAGGCGAGAAGGGATTCGAAAGAGGATTACAGGAGAAATTGGGAAATGGAACCCGAGAAGACAAAGAGAAAAAAGAGAAAATGATATCTTCCAGGTCTTCGGAGGAAACGCCATTGCAAAGCATAAAAGAAAACAAACAGGTTCCCCGCGTCAAATCGGGGTTAAGGAGAGGGCCTCCTTCACATGGTATCATAAGCGAAGTCTCCATCATTGGCCTAGCATCAACCCCATTTACGGCATGGAAATTGTCTCCGAAATCCTTTTACTGCGATGCGCACTGCACCCGCTCAGCACCGCCGGGCACGTCATCGTCCTCCTCGTCCATGCCGGCCGCGGCTGCGCCGTGTGCGCGGGCCTGGTCGTGCTCGTTCTCGGGGTCCTCAAGATCGAAATCCTCGACCATGGCGTCAGTCGGGGGAACGACCTTCTCGGAGCGAGGAGGAAGGACCTGCTCAAGGAGTTCCAGATTCTGGAGCTCCTCCTTCTTAGGGAACTGGACATCGAACTTGATGTACAGGTTGCCATGGTCGTGGTGGCGGAATGAGGGCATACCCTGGCCGTGGATAACCTTGATGGCATCTAGAAAGAATTGTTAGTAACAAATTTCACGAGGCTTGTGCGGGGAAAAAAAGGTAAGTCACATACCAGGAACGATAACTTCGCCAGGGGCGATGTTGATGGTCATCCACCGATCATCGAGGTGCTCAATGTGAACGGCACCGCCGGCAAGAGCGGTAAGCAGATCGATCTCGGCCTGGTAGAACAGGTCGTCACCCTTGCGCTGGAAGCGAGCGTGGGGCTTCTGCTCAATCTCGAACACGACATCACCGGGCATGACACCGGGCATCTGGTCACCCTCGCCACGGAACTCAATCTTGTGGCCGTCGCGCACACCTTTGTCGACGTGAACGTGAAGAACCTTGCGCTCAACGACGGTCTTCTTGCCGTTACACTTCTTGCAGCGATCCTTATCACGGACGATCTCTCCCTCACCGTTGCAGTCGGGGCAGACAGTCTGGAAGCGCTGGATCATGGGACCCATCTGGCGCATCATAGTCTTCATACCGCTACCGTTGCAGCCCGCGCACTCCTTAACAGCGCCCTCCTTTCCACCGCGGCCATCACAGCCACCGCAGATGACGGACTTCTGGAGAGCCAACTTGGATACCTTGCCCTTGTAGATATCCTCGAGGTTAACCTTGTGCACGTGGTGGATTGTGCGAGCCTTCTTGGGGCCTTGGTCACGCATGCCGCCGCCGAACATTCCGCCGAAGGGGCCGCCGCCGCCGCCGCCGAAGAATTGAGAGAACAAATCTTCGGCGTTCATGCCACCACCACCACCGCCGTGCTCCAGGCCTTCCTCACCGAGCTGATCATACAGCTGACGCTTCTCGGGGTCGGAAAGAGTCTCGTATGCGTGGGACAGTTCCTTGAACTTCTCTGCGGCATCGGGGTTGTTGGTGTTCTTGTCTGAATGTGACAAAGGGATGTCAGCTGATTGTTTCCATATATGCTATCCGGAGTCTCCGGGATTGTCACATACCAGGGTGGTACTTGAGAGCACCCTTCTTATAGGCAGTCTTGAGCTGAGCCTCGGTGGCAGTGGGAGCGACCTAAATGAAAGAAACACCAAGTCAGATTTCAAAGCACGAATGAAACTGGTCTTAGAACCAGCCAAGTATATTTTGAACATACCCCGAGGGTGTCGTAGAACTTCGTTTCCTTGACCATTGTGAAGTATGCGGGGAATCAAGAGGCGTGTAAAAGAATATCGATATCAGGTATTCCCGTGGAATCCAGATATGAAGCGGGAGAGAGGAGAGAGACAAAGGCGCCGAAAACTTTTAAGACGGCTTTTATTGAGAAATGCCAAATGGACAACGATTGCGGGTATTTGAAGTCCTGGCTGGAGTGATGAGAAAGTGGAGGAGGGGGAGAGAAAGGGCGAGATGGTTATCTGAACAATAATAATCGAAGCCAAAAAAAAAGGCTGAGTAACTTTTTTACCCAGGCACCTGTATGGGGCTCGTAAAGTTACCCAATAAATTACCAGGGCAACTAAGGATTGACGACTTTACACTAGTTTTCTTTGTCTCGCTTTGAAGCAGATTTTGCTATTTTTCAATCCAGAATCGACAAGTTGCTCGACAATACCGGCGATTTTTCACTTTCAACTCTTCTGGTGGCTTCTATGTATATCCTGAATTGGCCCGAGCGCTGATTCTACGGGATTCTGCGGCCTTCGATGGCCTTCGCAAGTTTTCTCCGCGCTTCCATGTTCGTTTTTATCACTGCTGACTAAGGTATATTTCGCCCATCAGGCGCCCAGCTGTATGTCTAGATATCGAGAATAAGATCCTTCTCTAAATGGCAGTTAATATAGTGATGTATTGGCTTAATAGACAATATCATACAAGGGTTGTATACGGGTTTTTGCATACTGTATCCTGCATACAATCCCTGTACACGTACCAGTAACTCACAATGCAGAAATTTTGAACCCTCGCCACTGACAGCCACCCCCAGCCACATATCTATCTCTCTTATCGATAAGCCAAGAGGCGAGGGGAAAAAAGCTCTTCGCGGTCCACTCGGTTCCATCGTCATAGAGGGGTTCGGAACTCTCCGATTACAACCTGGAGTTATATTTTCGTATTCCGTATCTTGTAGTTTTCTTATCTTGCCCCCTCTACTCCGTAGCCCACACTCAGCTCAACTACTACACTTTTCAAAAATGGAACAGGATCCCGGATTCATTGCCGCCGTCGAAGAGGCGAAGCAAGGCCTCTCTGAGGGAGGTGTGCCCATCGGTGCTGCCCTGGTCTCGAAGGATGGAAAGATCCTTGGCCGTGGTCACAACATGCGCGTACAGAAGGGAAGCGCTGTCTTGCATGTCAGTATAGCGTGATATACTCCAATTGATATCAATCGATCTATATCTATATCCGCAAGCATTCATAAACTACTGCTAACATACCTAAGGCCGAGATGTCCGCCCTCGAAAACTCCGGCCGTCTTCCTGCCTCCGCTTACGAAGGTGCTACTATGTACACCACCCTCTCGCCCTGTGATATGTGCACCGGTGCTTGTATCCTCTACAAGGTGAAGCGGGTTGTCATTGGTGAGAACAAGAACTTCCTGGGCGGCGAGGAGCTTCTACTCAACAAAGGCAAGGAGGTTGTTGTCTTGGATAATGCCGAGTGCAAGGAATTGATGACCAACTTCATCAAGGAGAAGCCTGAGCTATGGTATGTTGTGTTTGATGCTTGGCCTATCGCAATGCGTAAAGCGGCTCTCGTTCTGCTCGCAGTTGCATCGAGGATTGTTGGCTGTTTCATAATCATCAATACTAACTGTAGTGTCTGCTATACAGGAACGAGGATATCGCTGTCTAATTTCACAAGGCCTGCTTATATCATAGCCCTAAATACCCCGAGAATTGAAAATATTCACAACCAAAAGGTGTGCTTTTAGATCCAATGTAGTCTTTTGATATGAGTCGGGGAAGAAGCCGACTGCTTTTAAGGTTCAACACAATTATACGGTCAAACGGTGGATTTCTTCAAAGAAGAACTTGAGGTTCTCGGGGTCGACGAATGGAGTGACACCTGCGTTGAGAGACAATTAGTTAAATGATATGCAGCTCCAAATGGTAAGGTTCGACTAACCGTGGCCCAAGTTGCAAATCCATCCCTGCTTGCCCTTCTTGAACCCCTCAACCATAGGCTCAAGGGTGGCAGTGATGGCCGGGGGACCACCGTAGAGCATACCAGGATCCGCATTGCCCTGGATAGTCACACGGCCGTTGGCAATGCGCATGGCCTCGCCGGCATCGTGGAGCCAGTCCAAGCCGACAACATTGTATCCCGAATCGCAAAGGTCGTCCAGAGCGTACCAGGCGCCCTTGGCGAAGACGGTCATTGGAACAGGCTCCAGGCCCATCTCCTTCAGCCGCTTGGGCAGGTTGGCGGAGATGTGGCGCAGATAAGGAAGCGAGAATGACTTGAACGAGACGGGAGACAGCTCGCCGGCCCATGAGTCGAAGACCTGCACCAGCTGCGCTCCAGCAGCGACCTGGAGCGCGAGATATTCCACACAGATCTCAGCAATCTTCTGCAGAAGAGCCTGTGCCTCGGCAGGGTACTTGTAGACCCATTTCTTGGACTGCACGAAGAGCTTGCTACCACCGCCTTCGACCATGTAGCACAGCAGCGTCCATGGTGCACCACAGAAGCCGATCAAGGGCACCCGGCCCTTCAGCTTGAATCTTGTGAGAGTAATTGCCTTATAGACGTAGTCCAGCTCTGCTTTCACATCCACCTTCTTCGCCATCACCTTTTCGTACTGTCCGTCTGTTGGGGAGTCGAGCGGCTCTGGGAAATGAGGTCCCTTCTTGTCCAGCATCTCCACGACCATACCCATGGCCTGGGGAATGACTAGGATATCGGAGAAGATAATTGCGGCGTCGATGAGGCCTTCATAACGCTCAATGGGCTGGAGGGTCAAGGTTGATGCGATTTCGGGTGTGCGGCAGCATTCGAAGAAGTCATGGCCGGCCTTCGCCTCGTGGTATTCGGGGAGGTATCGGCCAGCTATTGAATAAAGAAAAAAAAATTGTTAATTAATTATTCTTGGGAGAGTGGTGCACGAATAATTCTTAACTCACCTTGTCGCATAACCCATATCGGTGGACGTTCCACCTTCTCACCTGCGATTGTCAGCTCCGTTTAAAACTTCAAACACGGAGTAAACATACCCCGTGCAGCCCTCAGCAGCAAGTCGTTCTTCAAAGGCTCAAATTGTTCCTGCATTGTGTTGGTGGAATATGTAGGTTGGATGGAGGGGAAGAAGTGGGATTATAACAAGGTCGGGTGCCGCGGCCCGTGATTATCGGAAAACCAGTGGCACCTTTACGTACATACGTAAACCTGCCTTTTCTTCCTGATTCTTTTTTTTTTTTTTTTTTGTTATTACTTTTTGGCGATAATTAGGTAGTTTTGTGTCAATTAGAATATAGCTGTAATTTGAGTGTCAAATCCGTAACATGTGTGTGTGTGTTTAGCTATGGACATCACCGGCACACATTGTCTCTCCCCTTAAACAACTTGTTCTACTAGACGTTGACCTATCTGCCCTTTTATCTTTACTAGGGTTTCCCCCCGAGGAATCTTACTATCGGTCAAAAACAACACGTTGTTATGATATGTAGCCCTACCCGGGTAGAGATACCCCGTAAATCAAACGCCGAGTCACCGAGAGCTTAAAGATGCTCTAGTCTGCGTCTAACCACCGTAAGTCTAACTGAGAACTAGTTATGAATTGGGTCCGATTGGATGGGATCATTCCCCGAAGATCCTCAGCACATCTTTGCTGCCGTGATGAATTAATAATGCCTCAGCCCGTCAGGGCCCTCCCTTGGTGCTCCGAAGATGAAGCAACGATTATATCCCTGGTTCCGGTATCCATTTCGAAAAGTTCCTGAGGGCCGTTCTTCTATTCCTCAACTCGGGTCTGTTTGACATTTGATCTCTTTTCTTTCGTAGTAGGGGTCAAAGGAGACGAAGTGGCGGTTAAATAGCATGGAGTGAGAAGATTTTCGGAGATATATATTTTGATCGGGGTGATACAAATTTTACAGCTAGCTATTTTTTTTTGCTTTGAACGAATTATAATGGAGACTGCTGCATTATATATGGATTTGAAATTCTAATTGATCATTTGCTGTACATTCATTAAAAGCACGCTTTTATTCGTCGGAGTCACCTCTCTTGCGCAGGTTGCCCAAATTGTACATTGAGTCATTGAGCTCTTTCTGCTGTTTCTCCTCTATTGTCGTAGGGAGGTTTGAAGTGCCTTCGGAGTTGATTTTGATGACCATGGAGTCCTCTTCTACAGGAGCCCACTTCCCAGAACTGAGGCGGAAGGCTTCAAGAGGAGGCTGGGAAGACGATTTCCAGGCGCTTGTCGAATCGGACTGCCGCAAAGTATCAACGGCAACAAGAATAGAGCCTCTTGAATCAAGGCCAACGAGTTCAAGAACGTTTCCTGACAGCTGGAGGGTATCTTGGTGAGTTATCGTGTTGTCGCTTTCGAGAGTGTAATAAAGAAGTTGTGAAGACCTGCTCTCAATGTCAGGGGAATTATAGATATCATCAATGGTTGTTGGAACGTACCCTTCAAGTGCAACAAAGATAGCCTTCACAGGATCGGCATTGTCTGTGGTAGGTTCAAGGGAAACATCCCAAATTCCGCGCACTGTAGTCTCTCCTTCCGCCCCAGGAAGCTGAACTTTCTGTAATATCTGATTCTCGAGCCAGTCCCACACAAGCAGGTAGTTGTCACCACCACCCGAGACGAGAACCTTGGATTCGAAAGAAGGGACGCACAGACTGCTAACAAATGAAGTGTGGCCAAAGCAAAACTGTTCAATTACATGCGCTTGGGGAACACCACGAGAGACACGGATGTGCTCATCACGATCCGCAGTCAGGATGTAATTCCGCTTGCCAACGGTCGAGTCCGCAGGCCGGGTAACGGAGATCAATTCTGTCAACAACGAAACGTGACCGATAATGACTTGGTGCTCAAAGTTCAGCACAACTCGTTCTGCTTGGTTGGTCTTCGAGAGAGCGGCCTGTCGCATTTGTTGCTCCAATGATTCAAGGTTGCGTTTTGTGTGCACTGTGAGGTTTGTGGCAGATGGTTCGTATGGTTTCGCTGGGGCCTGGACCTTCACGTATTCTCCGCTCGGAATTAGTGGGAAAGTGTACACATCTCCAAATTTGTCACCCGTCAAGATGTTGTTCTCATCGGGAGTCAGAGTAAGCGCAGAGAGTTTTTTGGGCATTGTACTATAAATGATGAGTTTGGCGAGCTTGCATATAGAAAACAAAAATAGTCACTCACCGAGCATTCAATTGCTGGAGTTTGCCTTCGTTGTCCAAACTCAGGACTCGAACACATTTGTCCTCGGAGGTCATGATTACTACATATTTGCCGTGGGCAACAGTCACGAGAGGAATGTTGGTCCAGGAGTTGGAAGCTTCTTTGTTCGAACCCTTAGGATTTGCCTCAGATTTGGCATCCTTTTGTTCCTCAGATGGCGAAGACAGCTTCCTTCGCTTTTCTGGCGGGCCTTGGCTTTCAGATGCGGGAGCTGCGTCAGAGCTTTTATCCTCCGCATTATCCTCCACATTGGCGTCTACGGGTTGAGGCCACACATCGAGGCGCTGACCACTGGACGCATCGTAAGAGTAAAGATTGCGACCAGCAGTGGCAATAAGGATATCCGATTGGCCCGCTGACTGCCTGTTGACATATCGCAGACACTGGAACGGGTGTTGGAGACCAGTCATGATGAAGTGCTTTGCTCCACAGAATGGGAATGATTAATGAGTTCACAAATATGCCAATTGGGTACTAATTGTAGCCAATAAGACAACAAATAACAGAAGTAGGAGCTCCCGAGATCCCTCTGATCGAATTCCGGCCATCTCTGTCCATCTTGGGCGGGTCTACTTTTTACGTCACGTGACCCACTAGCGAGCGCACCACCAAAATTGATTTTCCCGAAATCGGCAAGCTCTTCTTTTCTTCTCTTCCATTCACCACCACAACAACAGACTTTCCCTTAAACAACCTATCTTCACTGAAATCAAGAAGAAATGGGGGGCAAGTCCGCAACCAAGACCGCTTACTTCGAGAAGCTGCGTGCTCTGTTAGTTTCCCCTCAATGGCGCCTCGCAATTGACATGATTCCAAATTTCTAACAATTTTTTTTTTCTATATTACAGTCTCAATGAGTACAGCACCATCTTCATCGTTGGAGTTGACAATGTCAGCTCTCAGCAGATGCACGAGATCCGTATCTCCCTCCGTGGAGAGGCCGTCGTCCTGATGGGTAAGAACACCATGGTTCGTCGTGCCCTTAAGGGTTTCGTCGCTGAGAACCCCGAGTGGGAGCGTCTCCTTCCCCACGTTCGTGGCAACGTTGGTTTCATCTTCACCAACGGTGACCTCAAGGCCACCAAGGAGAAGATCCTTGCCAACCGTGTCGCTGCTCCCGCTCGTGCCGGTGCCATCGCCCCCGATGATGTCTGGATCCCCGGTGGTAACACTGGTATGGAGCCCGGTAAGACCGCCTTCTTCCAGGCTCTCGGTGTCCCCACCAAGATTGCTCGTGGTACCATTGAGATTGTTTCCGACCTCAAGCTCATTGAGGCTGGCAACAAGGTCGGTGCCTCCGAGGCTACCCTCCTTAACCTGCTGAACATCTCTCCGTTCACTTACGGTATGGCCATCACCCAGGTCTACGAGAACGGTCAGTGCTTCGGCGCCGATGTTCTCGACATCACCGATGAGCAGCTCTTGGCCGCCTTCTCCCAGGCTATCTCCACCATCACCGCTGTCTCCCTGGCCACCAACTACCCCACCCTTCCCTCCGTTATCCACTCCGTCATCAACGGATACAAGAAGGTCCTCGCTGCTGCCATCAGCACCGACTACAGCTGGCCTGAGATTGATGATCTCAAGGACCGCATCGCTAACCCCGATGCGTACGCCTCTGCTGCCCCTGTTGCCGCCGCTGCCACTTCCGGCGGTGACGCCGCTGCCGCCCCAGCTCCCGCTGAGGATGAGGAGGAGTCCGATGAGGACATGGGCTTCGGTCTCTTCGACTAAGCGCTTCCTCGACGGGATGCGAATGCCATGTATTAGATTTACTTGAACCGGCGCTTGAAATAGCGACCGGGAATGAAACAACATGTCTTGGCAATGGATTTCCCTCGGAAACCTAGGACTCGTATAATGGACGTAGCTACGCCCATTGTTCGTTTCCACAGAATTGGTGAGTTTGCAATTATCTCTTGTCTCTACCCCTTACCCACACCACCTCACATCACCCTGGCGGATGATTATAAATTTTTAACCCCGAGCATTTACGCCCCCCTCCGGGGCGCTCTGAAGATTAAAATAATGCAACAACAACACTCTAATTTTTTGATGACGCCATGCCTTTACTCTCACATCATTTTGACTTGAACTTTTGACTCCTCAATTTTCAAAACAATTGCTAACATGTGACAAGATTACAGATGCCCTTCATATGACCTGCGGTAGTAGTGCCAATATGTTGTCGCCGTAGCCATTTTTGTAGTTGGAGGCTGTCGGAAATCCTGTTCGCTATCTCTATTTGTGCAACTGCCGTAATAGATGGTTGCTCAATGAAAACATCGTTCTCCAAAATTTTGTTCTTGTTTGTAGCGCTCATGTAGTACCAAGTACTCGTGGCAAGCCCAACACCTACCTGTGGACCCGGCAGAGAGCAAATTGTAGTGTTAGGTATCTTTTGTATAGCAACTCCACACAAAAGGTACATAAACCCTTGTTTAGACGAGGGTTCTCAGCACCTACCTACGACATCCACTGTCCTATCCGACTCCTTATAACCGACTCCCTCGACCCTCTGGAGTTAAGCATTATGACCATAAGAGCCGTCGGTTGTCCCTCGTTGTTGATTCTAGCTTTGGCAAGTGCCATCTTAATACCGTTAAGCTCGGCAGCGTACACTGTGGACTTGGAGTCTGTTCCAAGATAACGTTATGAGGATACCCTGATCCAGACGGCGGATTTCCGCCTTTCAGAAGGAAAATGAAGGTGTCAAATTTCTTAGTCGCGTAACTTAGGTTCTATAACTCAATTACACCATGCATCTCGATGTCCACCACGCAGACTCTCCTGACAGAAGTATAAGAGGACGAGAACACGAAATGAATCCAACCGTGGCGATGATTGATGTTCGGAAAGATACACGACCAAGACAAGAAAGTTGATACCTGCATAATAGTCCCATGCATCCTGAGTACTTGGGAACTGGTCCAAAATCAACGGCAGATACGGTTGCGACCATTCTGATTTCCACTAGGCCGTATATCGGGCTTTGCGAGCCTCCCAGTATGCAGGTAGCCACCCCAGACTGCTCCCAGTCAATTATGCGACAAATATGATGAGTGGGTGTTATGATACTATTGCTATGATGCAAATCACCGTGGGTGAAGACAATGTCGCTATTGTCAGATAACTCGGACCGTAATAGCCCTAGAGGTACCGAATGTAGATCTAGCATTTTCCATCAAAAGAGAAATGTAAACCAACGATTGACTTCCCGAACAGAAGGAAAGGGACATGCTTCTGATAGGTAACTCGGATGGAATACTCTATCGTAAAGCGGGTAAGTCTGTGAGATCGTACTGAGAGTATGCCGGGTAAGGTATTGAGCTTCGGCGTTGGCGCGAACCTCGTCTGGAGAAGGGAGCTGACCCCTTTCCTCGAATAGGGAGGCTGGGATAACGAAATCTAGGGACACTGGTATGGAACGCATTGCCGTATGGGGATCGAGAAGTGATCATTTTCTCTGACAGCCAAGCTGCCATCCAGGCAGTCCAAAACCCACAACGACCATCTGGTCAGTATGTGCTAGCACTGATATACGGTCACGTACGGGCTATCCGGTCGAAAAACCAACCCAATATCACCATCAGGTAGATCCCTGCACACGTTGGGCCTAAATCCATGGGCTTTGCGGAAGTCTACCACTGATAAGGTTGTACTAGTCCTATTCTGACAACTCCAGCTACATAGGTCATCCAGGCAGCTCCTTCCTTCTCTTCCTTTCTCTCACTTTCTCCCCACGATAACCCCCCTCCCGCTGCTGGATCTTCTCTTTCTTTCTTTCTTCCTCTTAATAGTAGTCTTCATCAATTTGCAACTCAAAGGGAGGTGGGTACTTTGAATCGTGTACAGTCCCTCCAGTCCGGGATCGCGATTCTCATACAGGGGATCGTTCGCCTACTGGGTGCTTGGCAAAGGCTGGCCACCCATGAATCGTGGAAATCCTTGGTAGCCAAGCCAGAGCTCACCAGTTCCTGGTGGGCCACCGACAATTTCCTTTTTACGAGCCTTGAGCTCATCAACGTCCCACGAAGCGAAGACGATCTTGTTTTTAAGAAATTCTGCCTCGGGAGAGACAATCCAGACAAGGAAATCGGCGGGAAGAGAGACTGCGAAAGAATAATCGTTAGTTACTTAGATATAAAGACTGATTAGCCGCGAAGGACAAGATTAGTTTATACTCACTGTCATCAAAGGCAAATGGCAATTTGATCGACTCTGACAGCTTAGCAGACATGGCCGTTTGGAGGAAACCGGGATGCACATGGTGAAGATGCACTTGCGGGTTCTCAACGGCGAAGGACTGTAAGACCTTCACGGCAGCCATCTTACTGCTCACGTAGGCACCCATACCGGTGAACGGGGGGAATATGATGCCGGCCGTGGTCAAATTGATTAAGGTGACTGGCTTGTCCTCGTTAGGGCTGACTGTTTTGTTTGCTAGGACGACAGCCTGTGCTGTCACTAGCGAACCGACAACTGTAGTCTTGTAGCCGTCCAGAAAAGTAGCTGGATCGGCTTCTAGAAGCGGAACAACGGGGGCTAGGACGCCGGCACAGTGGATGAGGATGTCGATGCCACCAAACTCGGCAGCCACCTTATTCATGGCATTGCGGACGCTTGAAGCATCGCACAGATCAGCCTCGTGAGTTTGGATTGTCACCTCCGTGTGGCTGGCGCGGACAGTAGCGGCCGTTTCTGCCAGGGCGTCGGCGCGTCGACCGAGAAGGATGAGGGCTCGGGGACCCGATGCAGCAAAGGATGAGGCTGTGGCTCGGCCAATACCGCCAGATGCACCTGTAATCAACACAACCTTGCCCATAGTAGAGAGCCCCGGCTGAGTTGGATTGATGCCAGCATATGTGGTGGAGTGAATGACCTTGGTGTACGAGGGTGATGGTGGTGCCATTGTTTCAAATGTTCGGCACTCTTTGTGGTTTGTTTTGTAGTGTGTGTCGTGGAAAGGAAGCGTGTAAATAGTCCAACTCTGGCGTAAAAGTGGAATGGCTTAGATGTTGAAAGATAAAAGTAAATACGCAAGATTGGGCAAAAACCGTGAAAACAGAGGTGAAGGCGAGGAGTATGGCTGGTCAAAAAGTGGCGGAGGAAGGATTATATAGGCAGGCCGGTCACGACCAAGGGGGGGAGGCCACCTGGGTCGAATCCATTCATCTTGGTCACTATTCATTCCATGAATAGTATTCTACTTGTCTGCAGACGGCAAGTTGGAACCTCAAAGCCCCGAAATGGAAATGATTGGATCTCAACCTGTTCCCCACAAGGCTTAACCACAAGCAGAACCCTCGGAAGATTAAAGATGATCCACTTACTCTAAAGGGACATGAAAACCCCCCGAAAGACCAATAATAATGGTACAACTGACCCCACAATCGTGCCAATCGGATATCCGCAGGTTCGTAGTTGTGGATACCCGAGCGCCACATTAGGCCAACATGAACAAATAAGGGGCACGCAAATCACCGACTACAAAGTATAGCTTGTAACCACAAGGGGACAAAGAAAGTCTGCAATGGAATAGAACTGACTTGGATGCGAGTCCATCGACAATACAATAGGTACAACAGATCTTGTAGTCGTCCTCCACCTAGATATGGTGCTTTATATCTTTTAAGTTCCCCTAGAGTCTCTTACTGCAACGACCTAAGATATACTATAGGTATATATAATACCTCGGCAACAATTATACAATAATCTAAATCTTTAAGGTGTGATGTGGACCATCACAGGCTAGGCGATAGCCTCGCGTATGTGATCAAATTAGGTAAGGTGTATATGCACAATATATAGCCAAAAGCATGGGCTCCAATAAATAAGGTCCTATAGCAAAAGTAGGACATCAAGGATCAAAGAACTAATGCATTGACATGGTCACACAAGAAAGAGCCTCAACGCCCCAAATGCAACTAGCAAGCATGACAAGCCCACCACCTGATCCACTTTGTTAGCATTTCGAGGTTATATAGCGAGCAGCTTGCTGCTCTTTGCAATACACACTTATTTTAAGCTCTGCATAGCAAGATCCTGGTATTAGTTTATGCCAGTTCCACCTTGTCCGATATATCCTATCTTCTACCTGGTATATCCTATGGAACACAGTCTGCGGCTTTTCTCACACCAGGGGCTTCTCCTAGCTGGACGGATTCTGAGTGGCCTGGGGGGGGGGGCAGTGTAGAGTATGCGATCTTAACCCCGGTTCTGACAGACTATTGGCGTGTAGGGTAGCGCGGCCATTCTTTTCCAATCGCAACTTTCGTGCCCCTTGTTAGGTCCGGTTATTTCACTTTGGCATTCATTATGATTGGTTTTGGTGTGCCAGCACCTTTTCTTATATTGACATATGGTGCTAGGCTCAGAGACAAGGGGAAGCAGAGGGCAAAGGGGAAAGTGTCTCAAAATGTGATTATGCAAATACACGGTATTTCACAAAAAGACATGTGATCATACATTAGTTGATCATACATTAGTCTGATAAAATGTTCCAACGTGCAAATGTCCCAGTTAGCAGGGTAAATCAGTATACGTTCTTAACATTTCCTAGGAGAGAAACTAAAAGATAAGTCGATACGCAACATGCGTGCAAGCTCGTAGTAGAAGATGAAGCGGATAACCTCGCGTATGCGAAGGGGCAGAGCGGCCAAAGGTCAAATGCCTGATTTTGTAGGAATGATGCCTTGATATGCCTGAATTATAGACTACTTTCGACACCGCTCTATACCATATACTGTAAATTGAAGCTATTCCTAGTTATACACACCATATATAAGAATAGTTGGTTGGTTATACGGCCTTGTCATGTCTTTTTAGGTGATTTGTTTAGATATACTTTTTGCTAGTCTTTTTAGATGTTCTTTTTAGATATTCTCTTTAGATATCTCTTTAGATGTCTTTTTAGGTATATATAAAGGCGGTAAAAAAAGCAAACGTATAAGAGACTTTGAAATCTTTATATTACTCAAAATTGAAGCTATTCCTACCCCACAAATCATCAGTTTCTTCCAATCCCCAACATCGAAAACGTCCCAAACCGCGTAAAATGCCTCCTTATATTAATCTCTCGAGATTTGGTCGGTCGAAATAGCTCCAACGCCTAGAAATAGGCGCATACTGTGATTTATATGGTAGGAATAGCTTCATTCTTATGAACTACTAGGCCTACGGGTGATCTGTTATAATTGAGTTAACTATTTTGATTTCTGTCAGTCTATGTAAAACAAGGCATAATTCAGGCATATTCAAGTACCAAGCCTACAAAATCAGGCATTTGACCTTTGGCCGCTCTGCCCCTTCGCACGCGTACATACTCGGTAGGTAGGGGTTAGCCTAACTCGAAGTTCCATAAAATATTTAAATTTCAAATCTCGTGAATTTTACCTTAATCTTCCAAATGCTTGATAGGGATGCGATTTCTAATCAGAATCAGGGTTGCATTCAAATGTTGGCTAGCGCCGTTTGATTTAAATAAGCGGTCGCATGACTCGCCAACATTCCCTTTCCCTCTCATATCTACGACTACTCAGTATGCTTGAAGAGACCTCTCTACTGCTTGGTGGACAGCAGAAAATCACGAGATGGTCCTCAATCTACTGGTTGTCCGCTGTCGTCTTCTGTCTGTCCGCTTCGGGGGCTTTGCTCAATGTACCCCTAACACAACTCATCGAGGACAACATCTGCAGCCGATATGCTCAAGGCGCTCCAACCGAAGAGCTCTGCAAGTCTGATAAAATACAGTCCAAATTGGCTTATCTCAATGGCTGTCTTCCCCTGGTGGAGGCCGTAGTTGGTACGTACTATGAGCAATTGTTTACCAAGCTGTCCGGCACTGACCGGTTACTCTAGGTCTTATTGTGGCATTTCCATTTGGAGTTCTAGCTGACAGGTGAGGGCCTTTTCTGAATTGGTTTGAAAAGAATGAATACTCATTTGTCTGTAGAGTCGGTCGGAAACCCATTATTGTTCTCTCAATGATTGGAACCTCCCTCACCTTGGCCTGGGAATTAGCTGTAATTGCTTTGCCTAGCATCATTCCAGTTCAGTTCATCCTGGCTGGTCCATTGTTTGCAGTCATTGGTGGTGGAAATACTGTGCTCATCGCTAATCTGTATTCGATCGCATCGGATTTGGTGGTTCAATCAGACCGGTATGCTTTAACAGACACCCGTGGACTCATCTCGATAAACCATGATATCTAACATATAAAAAGAGCATCCGCATTCTTCCTCATGGCATTCGCCAGTCTAGTTGGTGCCTCTGTTGGACCAGCTATTTCATCCATTTTTATGGAAACTTTTTCACCCTGGATTTCAACCTTAATCGCCTTCTTCACCAATCTGGCCGCTCTATTCCCCCTTTTCTTCGTGCCCGAGACGTTGTCACCATCAAAGCTAGACTCCAACTCCGAGCAAGATGCAGAGTCAGAAAGAGGGCCCTATAGCTTCCGATCACGCCCATCTCAGTCCCTTCAACTCGGTGCTTCCATCGCACCGCTGATGTCTCCTTCCTTGATTCTCGTCTTGGCAACTTTTCTCACAGCCGCACCCGAGGTCCTGGGTACTTCCCAGTTTTTGGCACAGTACATTAGCAAGCGGTTTGGCTGGCCTCTCTCCAAAACGGGCTATCTCTTGACCCTCCGTGGGGTCATCCATTTGGGAATCTTGCTCTTTACACTTCCTCTACTCTCCAACATACTTTTGCGATACTACCGTGCACCTGTCAAGGACTTGATTCTTGCCCGTGCCTCGGTTGCAATTGCCGCTGTCGGAGCACTCTTCATGGCTGGATCACAGATAGGGTTGGTGATCACTGGGCTAGCGGTTCATAGCCTGGGATCAGGTCTGGCCCCGCTTTGTCGCTCACTAGCAACCAGCTATGTGGCACCACAGGACACATCCAAATTGAATACGGCCATCGGTATAGTTATGACGACAGGGTCTTTGTTCGCTGGGCCTGCTCTCGCGTGGTTGTTTGAAATTGGAATGAAACTGGGAGGCACGGCGCTTGGACTACCATATTATGGTCTAGCAGGATCGTTCGTATTGTGTCTGCTGGGCCTGATATTTGTTCATCCCCCTGCCCAGGAAGAGGGGACCGATGAATCTTAGCTGTACTGTTATCCACTTTGGGAAAGCAGGATCAGCTTGAGACTACAAGCGATTTTCGCCTATGGGTAAGGCCAACATGAAGCATTGAGCACATACGTTGGGCAACTCTAAATAAACCAAATAGCTATAGAGCCAGACTTGACTAGCTACCCGCAACTACCTGACAATGTTTAAGCTTCTCAGCCTCAATCTCATCATAATTACGTCATATATTACGGAAGATACATAAACAACCCCAGAGCTTTAGATGCACCACAATCAATAAATATGTATCATTCGCCGAACGCAGAAAATACAGAATGCAACAAGAGAGGTCTCAGGATACTCATCCACACCAGCGCTTCGTGCATGTCCAATTACCTGCACCTCCCTTGTCATCCCATATTCACCATACGAGCAAGGAGAATGACAGTGAGACAAAAGATTTTGAGATCCCTCACAGCCTCGATAGACTAATAAATATCGTGTCTGGGTGGGGAAGGTTGACACCTGAAAGTGAGGGTCCTCATTTGAGGACAAACTTGTCAGGTCATGGTTCTCCAGGATTTGCGACCGCTTCTCATCCACAAGAGACGGCTTCGGATCAGACGCAAATAATTACAGAGACCAACAACAAAACGGAGGGAGAATCGCAGGCATCGTTTGCAGAGGATTATGGGAAATTTAACAAAGTCCTACATTACGAGGGATCCTATACTGTTGAATTATACGAAAAGAAAGTACCGGCTGTTGATCAAACCACATCGCCAGCAAAATTCCCGCAAAGCCACATTCTGGAGAGAATGAGGCGAATTTCTATATCCGATACAATTAAGGAACTCTATGCAATCAAAGTGTATCGCCACGCCAAAACTGCGCTATCTCCGCCAGCCAGACCTCTTAGTCGGACTGTCTCCCTATGTCACCCTAATATTGTCCCAATCATCGACATTATCTATAATAAGCAAAGGAATCTCTGCCTTGTTATGCCGTACTACGCTGGCGGCACCTTATACTCTCTTCTTTCCCAAGATAGGAAACCAAGCGAGAAACTGTCCACCGAGGAGTTGAACTGTTTAACTATACAAATCCTGCGGGCAGTGGCCTTTCTACATGAAAATGACATTACCCATGGCGACCTGAGGCCAGAACATATACTCCTAACAGCCCAGGGCGCAGTGAAAGTGGGTGGTTTTGGTAAAGACGAAGATGCAGTTCGAGAACTAGTCGAACTATCACATAGTGGTAATCTCACATCCGCTTCGGCACCAAACCCTAAGTCAGCTCGGAAGTCTGAAGATAAGCCAACCCTGTGCATTCGGAGAGGGGTCTCGGAGTCCAGTGTTCCTTATCTTCCCCCGGAGAGGTTTCCCGGTCGCCGTGGCTCTCGTCCTCAAAGCTATACCTATGAATATGTCTCTGACCTCAAACCGGGAGATATATGGGCATGCGGCATAATCTGCATGCTACTTCGATCCGGTCAATTCCTGTGGCGCAGCGCCCAGAGAGTTAATCCTGACAAATCCTTTTCCGATTACCTCCACTGCCGTCTAGAGGAAGACGGGTATGGTCCCATACAAGTTCTTGAAAATGTAAGTTCTATATATCGTCTCTTTCTAGTGAGGTTGGGTATGAGGAAAAGTATCTAATCTCGGAATTCAAAAAGCATTACCGAAACGTGATTTACGCGATGTTACATCCCGATTTGGGACCGAGGATTACTGCAGCAGAGGTCTTGAGATCTGAATGGGCCCTCGGAGTTGCAGTTTGTGAGATTGGGGAAATGGGGTCTTGATCAAAATGAAATTTTGAACGACTTCCATATGCATGCCATTGACGGGAAATGTAAAGGTTCCATGTACATTGAGTCTACACTCACTATTGAAGACTAAGATTGGAATCTGGATGCGACAGATCTCTCTGAAGTGTCTCTTCGGCTTATTAAGATCTGAAAGACTCAGTAAAACCGGATCTACGTGCAGTCTTTTGTCTGTCTATATTCAATATTTATTAGAAATCTATTTTAGCCCGGAGCTTTGTCTATTATACTCCCTATTTATCCAGGCTTCGAGTCAACGACTGACTACTCTCGCCATCAATCTCCAAATAATTTCTGGACGATAACTTTGAACCGATAACAGACCCTCTCTTACTGTGACGAGTCCCTTGAAGTTCGAATTCAGGCCCGTTTGCAGATCTCTTTTGAAGTCCCTGGCACGACGGCCCACTTGATACGGCTTCTGATGCGGCGTGCTTGGACCTTTGTCTCTGACCCTTTAGGAGTCCATACAGGACGGGAGCGTTGGCTACGATAGCGGCGGCGAGTAACTCAATAGATGCCCAAGTAGTTCTGTTTACTTGCGCAGTGGGATTTCGGGCATTTTGAGGTAGTCTAGCGATGGTGATCGCGACGATGAAGAGGCCGACGGCGAAGAGGATTGCCAGCTGGATTTTCCTAGAACGAAGGTGTCAATGAGATCTATATGGTGATACATCTAGGTAGGTCGGGCCAAGCTTACTCCATAGTGGATCGTTTAACCATAACCAGGATTGGAATCGGCAAGGCGATAAGCATAATATCGGTGATGACATTGAGGACACCTGGGGAAAAAAAAAGTTAGAGGTATTACATTGAGACAGGTTACAAGAAGGCATACCGAGGATGATCAATTGGAGCTGTGCCTGACAGCATACGCCTGCATTGTATTAGACGGTTCAACGAAGACGAAAGATAAGGGAAGGGAATACCGGGATCCGGCAATACGATCCAGTAATGATTGAATGGATCGCACTCGGTGAAAGTCACAATCTGTACGACAGCGTACGTCGCAGCGAATATACCGATATACGACATCATCGTGACCTTCTCCCAGCGAAGGTGGGTGAGTAGTCTGCGGTAGGTATCGAGTAGAACCGACTTTTGCAGCCAGAGACTAAAAGAATTATGAGAAAAGAAAATAACCTTAACTGTAAACTCCATTGTTCAGGACGTACTAGGAATTATAGAACACTCGATTGGCGAGCACAAGTTTGCTCGCGATCTCTCTGCGACGGATCTCCTCGGGAGTGAAATCATGCGTATGCCTCATCTTCGTTGACATATTGTTGGTTCCCCAGATGAGAATAACGTGGACCAAGCCAAGGCGCACGAGAGCACAGAGAATTGCGCCCATTGCGAAATAATCGCCCAGGACGAACTGGAATCCTTTCAACTTCCGTACCATCAGCCGAAGGACAATCAAAATGATTGTCACCCAGGTGAACACCCAAAGAATGATGAGGGTGTAATCCATGGCTTTTGGATCTAAAAAAAAAAAAAAAAAAAAAGGGAAAGGAAAGAAATAGAAAAAGAATAGAAAAAGAAAAAGAAAAAAGAAAAAGACAGAAACAAGAGACGGGATGAACTATGTTGTATATCTAAGGCTAATGGGACATTCCAATCAATTTTCTCGTATTTGATAATATAATTTTAAAGATCTAATTTACCTTTTAGAGGATCCAGGAAAAGAAGAGTCCAGACGACTTTGGAAGTTCGCTTAGCAAAGTATATCGGTAATTTCTCCGTTTGCGTTCCAGTAGACTTCCAGTAGACTTCCATTAGACTTCCAGCAGACTTCCAGTAGACTACCAGATCTCGTATCGAGATGGGAACCCCCCCACTACGGAGAAGCCTCGGCAAAATCTGCTTAGCATCCAGGACATAAATTGAACCCCTGATAAACCTTATTCCTATTTCATTGACCCCCTATCCTTTCAAGATGCATCTCAAGACAGGATTATTCTTGATCTGGGCAATTGTTGCGGCTTCAGGCTGGTGCGGGGAGGTGCCAGCCCAGCGATCGTACATGTATGTTGGAGGACATTATATTCTGAATAGTGCTGGTCAACATGTCTTTGCCGATCAGATGTACGTGGAAAAGCTTACTCCAGCCGCGGGGGTGACCAAGCCATATCCAATTGTCTTCATCCATGGACAAGCTCAAACAGGCACCGTACGTATCATTGAAAAGAAAACCCCTTCTCCCCTTTACCAGAGGTTAACCGTAAGTCTGGCAGAATTGGCTCAACAAGCCCGACGGAGGAGAAGGCTGGGCCTCTTACTTTCTCTCTGAAGGATATGCATGCTACATTATCGATCAAACCTTCCGTGGCCGCAGTGCCTGGTTCCCTGGCAATGGGACGATGAGCACCTACAGTGCCGAGATATTACAGCAGCGCTTCACCGCACCAAAGCTATACAACCTCTGGCCGCAGGCGTCCCTTCACACCCAATGGAACGGGACTGGCATCATGGGCGACCGAAACTTCGACACATACTATTCCTCGACAGTCGAGTTCCTCAGTTCGGCAACCTACCAGCAGTCAACCGTCCAGGCCGCCGGCGCCGCTCTGCTCGACACCATCGGATCCCCCGTCATCCTCCTCTCCCACTCCCAGGGCGGAGTCATGCCCTGGCTCATTGCGGATGTGCGACCGAAACTCGTCCACTCCATCGTCTCGATCGAACCTACCGGCCCTCCCTTCCAGGAGGCCGTCTTCAGCAACACTACCACGCGCGCCTACGGGCTTACCGATATCCCTCTAACCTACTCGCCCGCCGTGGCCGATCCGGTCGAGCTCGTGAAACACGTCATTCCTTCCAACTCGTCGCTGTACTCCGACTGCGTAATCCAGGCTGATTCCCCCGCACCGAGACAGCTTGTCAATCTCGCCCAGGTGCCCGTTCTGGTCCTGACGACTGAATCCTCCTACCACGCGCCGTATGACTGGTGCACGGTCCGGTTCCTGCGACAGGCAGGCGTCCCCGCGCAACATCTCCAGCTGGCGGATATTGGTATCCATGGAAATGGACATATGGTGTTCATGGAGAAGAATAGTTTGCAAGTTGCTGCTGTTCTGCAGCGGTGGATGGAGAAGAAGTAATTTGTACGATATGACACTTTGTTTGGACAAAGCGGAATTCTTGCAATCATTTTCCTTCGCTACACTGCCTAGTCTCGATCAAAGCATGTAGTTCTTCTGGAACGTGCTCAAAGTTTGAGGCAAGGGCTTGTGCTTCCACTTCATATTCAAGATTCTGAAGTGCTCTTACTACGTCTTCTGTGGCGTCTCTTCGGCCCTTTGCTCTAGGCTACCTCGGTTAGGTTGGGCGGGCAATTTTTGAGGCTGCTGTAGGTCCCTTGTTGGAAACTTGCCGTACTTCCCCAGTATTTGGGAGCTTTTCACTTGATCCAAATGGTGCCATTATTCACTGTCAAGGCTCTTCTCAGGCTTATGGATACTTTTTGATTCCTTTTGCTATCCATCCACTTGGACATGTTATATATAGAATTCGTTTAGTTCTTAAACATGAACCAGTGCTACTATCAATACAAAGAGAATCCCTGCTTCCCAACCATTGAATGCCATCTTACCAATGAATGATAGAAGAACCGAGCACACGATGATTGCAGCCATAACCCTAAAAGTCTTCTTCTCCTCTTTTACGTAAATGGCTATAAGTTGCCAATAGCCAAAGCCACGGTAGAATCTTGTCGGCTTAAGACATTTGTTGGGTAACTTAGTACAGTACAAAAGGCAGGACAGTAAGACCCACTCGTAGAGGTAGAAATACGGGCTATGTGGGCTCGAATCCATAGCTCGCCTGAGTATATCCTGACCCGCGGCGGGTTGAGGATGTGAGAAGAGCCTTACTAATATCTTTAGTTAACCTTCTTTTATTTGATGTAAGCAGACAGACGGTTAGGGAGACGGTGAGCATCCTGTCCAGAAATGTGACATTGGGGCTCTGCGGTCCTGCGCTCGGACGGCCATTATAGTCAATAACGGCCTATTCCGGAGGGGTGGTGGGTACTTAGGTAAATAGCTATTTTGGCTTTATGATCAAGCCGATGACAGTGAGGTGTTATTGGGAAGGATTCTGAAATGCAAGACCTGGCTAGAAGCACACATTTCAACATTGAAGATAATATGTCTTAGGGATCAGAACCTCAATCAGATGCCATTACCTTAGCCACTAGTAATCTCCTTATTCTTTAAAATTAATACTCTATACGATCGCTCGCTGGATCTCCCAAGGCCACCATGCAGGATTTGTCGTATGGAGGGTCAGGCAGGAGGGCTTCCCCTAATTTCACTGGATTAGATATGCAAAAGAGAAGAGAAAACCCAAAAAAATCAAAACAATCAAAGGAACTAATAATATCACCCTCAGTCCCGGTCCCGCTTAGTCAGCTGCAGTAACTCCTTCCAAGGTTCATCTGCTTCGTCTTAGGCCCCATGAGCGTCCCAGCTGTCTTGTTGGTACCCACAACTTCCGGAATATCCGGGTACTGGTCGGGCTCCTGAGGGAGGTACGCATTCAAGGCGGACTTCCGGACGTCGTCAGTTTCAGTCTGCTTGAAAGTTAAAGACGCCTCACGGCCCACATCGTCTTTTCTCACTCTCTTCGTCGCTTGTCTTCGTAGCTGGTCTTGGCGAGGAAGGTTCGGCGGTACCAGAAATGAAATGCGGTCTGTCAAAAGAGGCGGGAGAAGTCTTTTTAGTATCTTTTTCATTGTCTTTTTCAGTCAGTTTTTCAGCCAGTTTTTCAGTCTCTTTTTAGCTATCTTTTTAGGTATTCTTTTTAGATGTTCTTTTTAGGTATATATAAAAGCGGTAAAAAAGCACACTTTGTGTAAGAGACTGAAATCTCTATATTCCTCAAAAATGAAACTATTCCTACTCCACAAATCATCAGTTTCTTCGAATCCCTAACATCGAAAACCGTCCCAAACGGTGTAAACTGCCTCCTTATATTAATCTTAAGAGATTTAGCTAGTCGTAATAGCTTTAAGGCCTAGAAATAGGCGTATACGGTGATTTATATAGTAGGAATTAGACCTCCGCAGAGCCCATAAAGCCCAGAGCCCCTAAAGCCCAAAGCCCAGCCCAACCCAACCCGCAAATAAGTTGGGTTTTGGGCCCGGTCCTTAGGCCTATCGATGGGCTATGGGCTTATACCTCGAGCCCACTGTGGGTTAATAGGGGCCCAAATTGGCCCCATACAATATAAATATGCCGAGAATTTCGATACTAAGATAAATTGAAACCCCCTTTTAGGATTAATTAAATTACCTCTATTTTACGTCCGTTTCTTACCCTAATCCCTAAGGTAATAGACATGTGCATATAGACCCACCTTCCCTTTTCGGAAACATGTATCCCCCTCACAAAACCAACTCCCAACACTCCCCAAAATGCCCCTCACCAAAAACGCCATAATCCTCAGAGCTAACATGCTGATAGCCCTCCTTCGCATACAGCCTCCTAGCCGAAACAAGCACATTCTGCGTCCAAAGCCGAATCCGCGTATACCCCGTCTCGCGCGCAAACCGTGTGCACTGCTCGATCAAAGCACGACCGAGCCCAAGGCCCCGCGCGCTGGGCTCAACAAGGAGGAGACGTAACTTGGCCGTGTTGACGAGCTCACTGTCTCGGACCAGAACTATACAGCCGAGGGACTCGTCGTTCCGCTCGGCGATCCAGCACCGGTCTGTGGATGCGTCGTAGTTGTCGAGGAATTCTGCGCCGACTTTGCATACTAGCGCTTCCATTTTTGTACCCCAGCCGTATTCTTGTTCGTAGAGTGTTGCGTGGCGGTGGATTATCCATCCTATATCACCGGGTCGGTGGGTGCGGAGGGTATATCCCGGGGATTGGGGTTCTTGGGGGGTTTCAGGATTCATAGGTTTGAATGGGTTGGGGTTGTCTTAGAATAGGGAAAGGAGGTGATTTTGGGTGACGGGAGAACGCCGATATAGATGTATTGTGTACACCCATGGATGTACATAGACTCCTTCCTTATCGCGACATGTCATTGGAAGGGCGTGGACTAAAAAGAGAATATTTTCGAAGAAAATTGACCCACACCAGACAATAGATTTGGGTTTTGGTATGTGCAATAGAAAAATATAGACGAATTAGATCCAAGATAACACGGATGTCGCATTCAATGCATTCAATCCAAGTGGTATACAACTGCAAAACATGAGGTCAAGACTCAATGTCCCGAGCATACATAAACTAGACCTTTGGGTATGCAATGACCCGAACAAATAAGCCGAAACGGCAAAGGATATTTCTACAACGGTGTATCCACGCTCGAGTCGAGATATAACCAGAAACAGATGAGACAGAATGAAAATAGGTGGGGAGGAGCTACGCCCCATCCTCAGTACTCCGTCCGAACCGGCCTCCAAAACCGCCGAGGTCGCGGCGGAAGAACTTGCCAATGTTCTTCAGGTTCTCATTGAGATTTCCTGTGGCGCTTTCTGTGGGAGTGTTTATGGGATTAGATTGCAGGGTGGAGCTAGCCAGGGAAGGGGACAAGGCGCCTGATGGGCTGGTCACGCCAGATACAGATGTAGCTGTCCCAGTAGCGCCAGCCACACCAGCACCCGGCGTGCTCAGACTGGGGTTTCCGAAGCGATCAACGCTGTCCTTGGCAGCGGACATGATGGCAGAGCCGAGCATAGAGGCATCAAAACGGGAAGGCATAGCTGCGGCGGCGCTGCCTAGACCCAGACCTTGGGATACTGAGCCCGTGGCGGTGGCGGACGGCCCTTGGAGAGAGGCGAGGATTGGGTTGCTCGGCTGCAGGCTGGATGCATAGCGGTCTGATGCACGGTGAAGTTGAAATAACTCCACAAGGTGATTTTGATCTTGGCGGCTGCGGATGCCTTTGAGATCGAGGACTTTGCGGAAGTTGTTATTGTTGCGGTCGGCAATGTGGATGAGGTATGCTTGCACAAGAGCTTCCGGTGGTGACGGCCGGACCTGGAGGGTTTTGAGGAGAGTTTCGATTTTGAAGAAGCTGCTGTTCACACGCTTGACAAAGCCGGCGGGTGCTGGAGCAGGTAGCAGGGATGAAAGGCCGCTCTTGAGAGTGTAGGAATCGAGAAGCATCTATGAACGGAGTTAGTAAGATATACAAGTACATTTTCAGAAGGGGGGGGGGGGCATCATACCTGTTCCGCACCGGTTTCCGAGAGTGGCCTGCATTGGAACACGTTGCTAATGAACTGGCTTGAGATGAGCTCCACCAAATGATCGGAGAAGGCACGCGCATATTGCTGCTTATGCAACAACTGTAAAATCCCAGTTGCCTTCTCCTTTGTCCGGGAGAGCATCTCGCTAACGTACGAGCTCTGATCACTGACAGCCTCAATCTTAGCCCAAGGTGTATTGCGCATTTCGCGCCAGGAAGGCTCGAGATCGATTTCGACTTGGCGCACAAGACCTCGTACAGAAGCAGATGCAATACCCATGAAAGAGTCTGCCTGACTTTGCAGATCAACTGATTGCTTCAGGTTCTCATCCAACCTACCCCTGATCTTCTCTTCCAATTGGGAACAAGTCGTGTAGCAGTAATCAGCAGTGTTCAAAACTGAGACGTAATCTTCCACCGAGGGCACCCTAGACGGCGTGTGAAGTGTTGGTCGTTCACTAATATAATTGAGAAGGACTTGCTGTGCATATTGATCCAGGTATTTGGCGAACACCTTGGCCAGCTCCGCCAGACTGCCACCAGTTGAAAGCTTTGCACATTGTTGCAAAGCATGACGATAGAAAGTGAAAAGCTCAGTAGAGGATGAAATCACGATATGAGAGTTGAATTCCTCGTCCGGTACTTTGAGCGGCTGTTGGCGGTATTTCGGCAGCAGCGCTGCGAGTTGCTTGTCTTGTGCCTCGACCCAGACACTAAGGTATGGCTCGAAGGCCTCGGAAATTGATTGACTGAATACAGGTGGTTCGGCGGAGGCGAATGTGTCGACAGATGCACGCGATGAAGGGGCGAAGCGACGCTCAAGAGAATGCTCGAAATCAAGCGTCTCTTGCAGGCACGAAAGGAGCAAATTGACATCGATAGTCTGTCCGCTTCGTACAGACCGGGATAAAATACCCTTGAAATCCTCTCGCGTACCCTCACAGAAAACATTTGACAACACCTCATTTACTCTCCACGAAGCCGGGAAGATGGCCGCGTTCTCTTCGTCGTATATCTTCAATATGCGCCGGAACCATGAATATCGGCGGGAGATGTTGTCCAATGATCCGGCTTCCTCGTTGTTCCGGAAGACCTGCCGGTACTCACGAAGCTGTGTATTGCAATACCAAGTCACCAGTCGGGACCGTGCGTGTTCACCTAGAGCGTCTGCGACTTGACACGACTCCGCGAGCATCGCGCGCTTCGAGCCTACCTCACCCTTGGCAAAGGCCAGCTCGAAGTCCTCGCACACCTGCTCTTGCAAATCTCGTTGTATGTCCGCGACATTCCGACTGAGCATTGCAATTTGGTCAATCGATCGGTATGACTTGAAATGGGCCATGAGCTGAATGACAGCTTGGAGTAGCTGTGCACATTCTCCATATTGCCGCGTCCGACTGAGAGCTTGGAGCTGGTCGTATGCCGTAGTTAACATCTGCAGGCGCTTGAGCGCCGTCATCGATAATGTGAGGTTCTTCTTTGCGTTGTCCAATTGCTTGATGTCGGCTGTCATATCGGTAATTGCCTGCTCCGTCTTCAATGCCCGCTCCCGCACGTCATCGATTTTCTTAAACAGCTCCGAGAGGTCGGCCTTGGCCGCCTGAATTCGTTCCACGCTATCGGCATTGGAGGTGACCTGCTCCTCCACTAGCATGCCGATGTCATCGTCCAGCTCATCTTCGCATTCGTTCAGGGCGTCGGCGATCTGAGAAACGGAGGAGAGGGTGGATGGATGGGAGAAAACGGCATTCAAGTGTTCAATCGGATCGTAGTCCACTAGATGTACCTCGTATGTTAGCATAATCAGCAATGAGCACGCGAGGTTAATTGTTCCGCACCCGCATCCAAGGCGTCGAGGCTTGGTTCCTCGTTTGGCGACATATGGCCGGTGGTTGAGGCAGTGGTCGTCATCCCATCAGCTCACCATAATCATCCTGCCCTTGGTCTCAACTTGCTTTTTGTGAGGCCAATGCAGAATTCGTGGGAGGGAGAAGTTGAATGGGGGATGTTGATCGTGGCCCGCATGGCCTCTAGCGCGCCAGCTTGGCATCTTCCGCAACTGCCGCCATCCTCACAGGGCTGTTTCTTAGGCACTTACAGAGACAACCCTTGAGATTCACAAGTCTACGCTTTGTTACTTATATTCTGAGTGAAAAATTGGGATAGAGTATTCATTTGATTCATTCATTTGATTGTTTTTAGGGAGATTTTGTATTTTTTTTACATAAGGTTCCTAGCCCAGTGGCCCATGTCCATATTTCGAAATAATCAAACCATTGCCGTTCGCCCAAGCCATGCAAGTAAAAAAAGGTACTGTCACATCAGATGCATTAGGCTTTCACGAAACCACTCCCGAGGACTAGCTAACAACAATGGAAACGGGAGTGGACGTGGAAGGTTTCAACAGAACCAGCGAACAGCCGAAGAGCAAGTGCTCAAAAGAAAGCGGTCGGAGGAAGTGCATTGGTAGCCTGTTGTAGAGTGTCGTTAGTATGATTCCATGCCAAATGAAGGGACTATCCTTGAAATTAGCTTACCTTAAGCTGTTCGAAGTTCTTCCAGGCAAGCTCGACATTCCAGTCATTTCCCGCGAGGGCCATCTCTGAGTATTCGAAAGTCATACCCGACTTGCCACTCATTTCAGCGACCATCTGCTCCTGCCGAAGCTGGGTGTCGGACTTTCCAGGTCGAGGCAAAGCGTATCCTTCAGCAACATTGCCCATCGGGGCAGCTGCGGGGACTGCGGGGACTGCGGGGAGAGAGGAGGGTGCAGGAGCCGCAGTGGGAACAGGACCGGGAGCGGGAACCTGGGGGACCTGGGAAAGTGCCTGGATCTCAGGGGACCATGCCTCATGTCCACCGAAAGCGCGCAGGCAGAAAATCTCGCTGACAACTCGGATGCCACCGGGGGTGTTACCGGGGCCAATAATAAAAGTTCGATCGAAGCTGCGGATCTCAACCTTACCACCAACGCTCTCCTCAAGCTGTCCGTGCACCATAAGGGAGATGCCACCAACGCCAGTGGGGCTCTGTCCAGTAGGGTCGGGGAGATGGGGAACCGGGTGGCATTCAAAGAGCCATTGCTCTGCCTTAGCAACAAGGTCTGGGTGGCGAGTGGGCGGGAGCGCATTGAAGACTTCGCGGATTTGCGCGACGCCCTTGAAGGAGCGGGACATGCGTGCTGAAAGGTGACTGATCTTGTCGAGATTTCGGCTCTTTCTGATGTATTCACCCCAACCTCCTGTCTCGGTTTGACCGGCCCGGGGAGCTGTGGTGTTTACATTCAGCGAAAAAGTGGATTGATCATCGTAGACAGTGCTGACGAGGCCGTTGCGATCGTTGTCATAGCCAGTGAAGAAAGCACGGACGAAGTTCTCGCCGACTTGAGACTCGTCAATGAAGTGAGGTGGCAAGACCGGGATCGGGGTCTTCTTCTGAGCTGCGACCTCTTCCGGGGTTCGAACTTGGACGTTGTTCAAAGTTTGCAGCTTGGGATACCACTTGAGCATGGTATCTTTGAAATTTGGATCGGAACTAATCTCGTTCTCAGTCAAGTCGAGGAAGATGAGGTTGCGGAATTTCCAGCGCCATCCAATCATCGCCTGCGAATTCTTGATGTCGTTCTTAGAGAGGTCCAGGTATTGGATATCGGGGAAAGATTGTGCGAGGGTCGTCACGGAGGCAATGTTGCTGAGCTTGTTTTCCGCCAGACTGACAAGTTCGACCGCCTCGCGTCGCTCAGCTACAGTCTTGAAGCCCAATTCCCAAACCTTCATGAGAGCAGGGAAGAATTTGGACTTAGTAGAGACAGTGTCGAAGATCCCCATCTCATTTAGATCGGGGTCGTCCGCCAGCTTCGACAAGTCAAGTAGCTTGGTGGCGGGGAAGAAGCGTTTGCCGAGGATAGTAGTCATTTTAACCTTTGTATCGGCGGTCGAGCCAGGAACGGGGTCCACTGCGGCCAGTTCGTGATCGAGTGCGGTAGCGGCAGTGTATTCTTCAACGGTAACATGAGCTCCGGCGAAAACATTGTTGTTGATACGAAGCATGTGACCCGCTAGATCTGGCCGAACGAATGCCACAAGAGTGTCACCTTCAGTGCGTGACTAATTTGAATGTTAGAAAGGTGCCAGGGGACCTTGAAAACCACGGTCACCCAAAGGGGAGGACGCCAAAAAGCCTAAAATGTGTCGATCGTCGTTTTGTAGGAGGGCCGTCCTCGAAAACGAGAGGACAGTGAAGCGAGGAACGTCGAGGACCGATGTTGGTGACCGCCATTGTGAACGAGAGACATACCTTTGTAATCTTTGCGCGGGGTCCGGATTTGATGAATGAGTTCATGCGTCGCTCGAGGAATGCGATGAGGCTCTCGATGCCGCCATCACGGTTGCTTGCCGCCTTACTTGATTTCCATCCTCGGACACTGAACTGTTCCAGGTCGCCGCCGGTTTTTTTCTTGTTGCGTTGGATGTTTGCTTGGCTGTCGGCGCTGTAAATGGCTCTTTGGATCAGATCCGAATCCCGGGGCTTGTTGCGAGCCTGGGCCCGGTTGCCAGCTCCTACAGCTCGGCCACCTGCGCCTGTGCCAGCGGCGCGGCCACCCAAGGCAGACTTGTCGGCACGGTTTCTCTTTGCACGAGCACCGCCCGCATCCATGTCCATATCGCCATCTCGGTCGGTGCGAGTAGGGCCCCGCTTGCGGATTCCCCCGCGGTCATTGCCGCCGCGGCGAGACTTCATGCTCTTCATGGCGGTTGAAGGAGAGAGTTGAGAGGTTGGTGGGATATCGGAGGTTCTTGTAAGGGGGGTTAAGCTGAAAGAAATCTGAAACTGCTAGGTTGAAGCGAGCAGCGCGCTTTGCGCCTCAGATCAGGCAGAAAGAAGTTGTTGGCATATGCGGAAAGCGCAGAAAGGTGACTCGGGAAAGTGGGAGGTAAAGAAAGAGCAAACTGAAAAGACTGGAGAAGAGGGGGGAGCTGCAGATTATGTAGTGCAGCTAGACAATAATAAAGTGACAGTGAATGACCAAAGAACAATAGAGCCGTGAATAACTAAAGTGAGTTCAAAGAAAAAGTGACGATTGGCACGTGATGAGGCGGCGTCCGCTGCTACTAATCCCGATTAGGAATCATTGACTCCCCACTAGTCCTGATTAGGTGATGACTCATTTCTTTGTTTCAGGTGGGCCAATCACATGCTGTCGTCTGTCCTCACGAGTGCTCCTCATACATTGAGCCTGCAAGTATGCCTGGCCACTTGGAGGCTTCAAATTGGCCTTGCTCTTGTCTCTATTGTCAGTCGCATTGAGTTTGAATTGACTCACTCGTACTCTATTGTTGGTATGGTTGCCTTCCCCGTCTTGTTTACTCCATTTACTTTGTTTGGTCTGTTTATTTGAATGGGATCTCCCTCATTCAATGGAGCTTGCGCGTCCAATGACCACGTAGCTGACCTATTCGTGTTCTTTTTGTCTTACAGGCATTTAATTCTCCGCCGCTGTCCACGATCCCTCGCTTGGCCTTTGCGCTTCACCCTATGGTCGTCAATTGACTGGCGAGATGTCCGCAAAGTCGCGATTCACGAGGCTAGACGCCTTCGCCAAGACCGTTGAAGATGCTCGCATTCGCACGAACTCCGGAGGTGTCATTACAATTGCTTCGTTGTTGATTGTTATGTGGCTGGTATGGGGTGAATGGGCCGACTACCGACGAGTTGTGGTGCTGCCGGAGCTTGTCGTCGATAAATCGCGAGGTATGAATAGAGTTTGGACTCAATTGGACCCACGATGGACCTGCAGAAGATACAATGTATAGGGCAAGGTCGCTAACGGCTCAATTTTGCTGTGCAGGAGAGCGGATGGAGATTCATTTGAACATGACCTTCCCTCGGCTGCCATGCGAGCTCTTGACCTTGGATGTGATGGATGTCTCTGGTGAGCAGCAGGTCGGCGTTGCCCATGGCGTGAACAAAGTCCGCCTGAGCCCATACAATGAAGGCGGCAAGGTGATTGATGTCCAGGCTTTGGACCTGTAAGTGCCAGTCCTTCCACCCGAAATCTTTCCTATCGTGATCACAACCTTATTATCGTCCTTTCCCAGACACTCTCCATCAGAAGCTGCGAAGCACTTGGCTCCCGACTACTGCGGTGAATGTGGTGGAGCTACGCCTCCCCCCAATGTTATCAAACCAGGATGCTGTACTACTTGTGAGGAAGTCCGCGAAGCATACGCCGAGAAGCAATGGGCCTTCGGTGACGGCAGCAACATCGAGCAGTGTAAGCGTGAAGGATATGCCGAGAAACTCGCCGAGCAGCGCCGTGAAGGATGTCGGATCGAGGGTGTGCTGAAGGTCAACAAGGTGGTTGGCAACTTCCACATTGCACCGGGCCGCAGCTTCACCTCTGGCAACATGCATGTCCACGATCTAGACGCCTATGTAGTCCCTAACGCAGGCCCATCGGAGCAGCACACGATGTCCCACTTGGTCCACGAGCTTCGCTTCGGACCCCAGCTCCCCACCGAGCTTGCCGGCCGCTGGGGTTGGACCGACCACCACCACACCAACCCGCTCGACGATACCAAGCAGGAGACTGACGAGCCCGCCTACAACTTCATGTACTTTGTCAAGGTTGTCTCGACATCGTACTTGCCTCTAGGCTGGGATCCACAGTTCTCGACCTCCATCCACAACGCCTACGACAACGCGCCTCTTGGCTCCCACGGCCTCGCCTACGGTTCTCAGGGTAGTATCGAGGCTCACCAGTACTCGGTCACCTCTCACAAGCGTCCTCTTTCCGGTGGAAATGATGCTGCGGAGGGCCACAAGGAACGCGTACATGCCGGCGGCGGTATTCCAGGTGTCTTCTTCAACTACGATATCTCCCCTATGAAGGTTGTCAACCGTGAGGCTCGCCCGAAGACTTTCACTAACTTCCTCACTGGTATCTGTGCTATCATCGGTGGTACTCTGACTGTCGCTGCTGCTTTGGACCGCGGTCTGTATGAAGGTGCCATACGTGTCAAGAAGTTGCATTCGAGCTAGATGTTGATATCTAGTCGGAGATAAGATAAGATTCAGTATTTACAAAACATCTCTTTGCATGGGATGATCTACTCTAGCATGAGGTAGGTGCTTTTTCGGCGTGGAGAGGTGAGCTGAAGCATCGTGGAAGCGAGGGAAGTTGGCACTTGTGGCGTTCTTGGGATACCTTAATAAATGTTTTGCCATTGCGCTATTTTGAGCTAAGATGTAGCTATTCATCTATCGATACCATCGAATCTTTGTGACTGAAAAGTAAATTTGCAGTTGTTGCAGCTGATTGCATTCGAGTTGTTTGTCAGGAGTATATCGTCACGTGATGTATACCCACTTTCCCCTTTCGGAAGTATATAGTTCCCCGGGTTCCGATAACGAACTTTTTGACGGCACGTCTAGACTGAAGTATAAGGGTAATACTCTAAAAACAATTATCACATACAAGCGAAGAGAGAATATAATCCATCAACCCCAAACACAACAACTACCCCACAACCGAAGCTCTCGCCCGACTATTCCTCCTACTCTCAGTATGCCTCTCCCGATCAGCAGCCAGCTGCTGCGCGAATTTACTCTTCGCCCTAATTTCTGGTCCCTTCCAGTAGAACACATAAATCGGAATCATAACCAAGAACCCCACACAGCCGAGCAGCGTACTCGCCCACTGGAGATGATACTTGCTCCCCATATTCTGGTACATGGGGGTTGAGTACATGGTCGCGACACCAGCGAGGAAGTCTCTCGAAAAGCCATTACCTCCCGTTGCAGATGCAGAGTACGGCCCATACGCTGCAACCATATAGTCTATCGTCGCCATGTAGATTGCGTAGTTTGCCATTGCGATTAGACAGGCAAAGATGCATGGCGCGATCCATGGGATTGGCGGGCCCATTGATGTCCACGCGAAGCCGAGGAGACCGATTGGTTCGAGGGGTGCGATGAAGAGGAGGAGGAGGAGACGGCGTTCGGCCAGACGACTTGCGGGGCCGCTTTGGCGGCGTATTTGGATTTGGCGGTGGATGTCGGGTAGGAAGATTATATATGCTATTACGTAGCCGATGAGAATTGAGGCGAATGTTAGGCCGACGGCTAGCACGCTGAAGGACCACTGTTCAAAGACTAGAGTGAAGGACTCGGTGAAGACGAAGATCAGGGCATCCGAGAAACCGGAGAGGAGAGAGAGGAATAGGACGATTGGTTCGCGGAGGAACATCTCGAATGGCCGGATCCAGATTCGTAGGACGTCGTGGAAGTCTAGACGTGGGGTTTTGAGTTCGTTCGGACCCCAGATGTCTTCTCCGTTCTTGCGGCGGCGCTTCGCTTCGCGGTCGACCAGGATCGTCGTGCGGGTTTCTGGCACGATGAAGAAGTGCAGGATCTGCGTTACGGCTCCGACAATCAATTGGATCCAGAATACCCATCGCCAGGTGAGCCATTCGCCAATCATACCGCCGAAGAAGGGTCCGACGGTTGATCCGCCCACTGACGAGAGAACCACAAAGGCTACCGCATAGCCTTGGTCGTCGGCTTCCCACATATCTGCTGTCATACCGAGGGTGACTGAGCCTCCGGCGGAACTGAGACCGCCGAGAACACGACATACGACGATTGTGCCGTAGTTGGGTGCGAGGGCGCATGGGATTTGCCAGATGTTCACAAGGAATAAGGAGAGCTGCATGATGGGCCAGCGGCCGAATTCCTCGCTCCATGGTGCCCAGAGCTCACATCCGAATGCATACGCCACTAAGAACACACACTGTCCGACTCGCGCGGCTTGTTCGCTGATGTGGAATTTTTCGGTCAGACCGGCGACAGCGTTGGCATAGACGCCTGTGTTGAAGTTCATAGACATCTGGACTACGAAGATGACGGAGAGAATTGTCCATTTCTTCCATGTTGGGAAGCAGAAGCCGAGCTTTTCGTAGCAGTCGTCTTCTGTGAGCTCGGGTTTGCCGCCGGTACGCAGCTTGGGTTTATCGTCGTGGCTTGCTGTGTCGGAGCTGGAGGCGTGTTCGGCGTGGGTGTCGACGCCCCTTTCTGTTTCGATCTTATTTGCTTGTGGGTTGGCTTCATCTTTGAAGCTTGATGTCCTTGGCTTCTCGGGGTCTAGGGAGTCCAGGGCAGCCATCTGGCAGGTTGTGTTGATTGAGATCTATTGTATAGATATGCTCGGTTCACAATGGTACATTGGAAATTGGAGGATCATAAACAGAGAATAAACATATGGTTTGTTCTATGCATGAAGATTGCACAGAAGATATCAGGCTAGTTATTAACGTATCGAGAAGCAGCGCACTGGCCCGATATGCCAGAATAGCGGCCATGGTCATTCGACACTATCACTAGATTTATGTACATAGTACTTTTGTTCAATGGGATATCCAATGATATCCACTCAAAACTTGAGAAAACCTGTTCCCCAGCATTGGGATTCTCCGCCCTACGAGCCGGAGCGTCGGCAACCCTCCACTACGTCATTCCAGCCCCAGGCTACGTCAAATGTCGAGGATTTTATCTACTCCCCGCAGCCTCTATGTTCAATCATATCTTTCTCAAATGTTTTAGTTTATAAATTAGAGGAATTAGGTGGGGAAATGCTGTCATAGAATATTGTCTTTGTTGGTCCCATTGGCCCAAGGATTCTTTCTATATCGTACATAACATCCATAACCACCGAAGTAACACCAATGTAGATTGTTGTCATACGATGACAGTTATTGTACCATACAAATATAGTCCTAAATATAGTCCTATGGCGCCCTAGTGTGGTGTGACGTAACACCCTATGTAGTCTATATTTCTCTTGAATAATTTTGCATAAGACTTAGGTATTAAGCTTTGGCATAAGAAATAAATGAGTCATGTAGATATTTCTACTTGATCTTAATTGGCACTAAGACTCCCTTGGTAATGGCCGGATTTTGTGCTCATCTTCCATATGAACTATATAATATATGGGTGTATGGTGTATTTTTGAGCCTTATGGCAAGCATAAAAAGGTGTGGAACATGCCGTCGCTTATATATCTTGCTAACTACTACTTCATGTATATTGTAGCTTATTCTGGATTGGTCCATAGCGAAGTCTTAGAAGATACATGACTCCGCTACCAGATCTTCCGATTATACGTATCGCCACTCTTGAACCCGAATATTAGCTTTATAACGTACCATGTCGTATACATTGGAGCTTTCTGATCTTCCGATTTTTTTTTCTAAAAGCCATCTTTTACATCACCAAATTGCATTCCATATTTTCTTTGAGAGTAACTAGCTGCCTATTATGTCCACGGGTACATACTCTCTTTATTACTACAAAGTGCTTTTTCAGGAAAAGTACCACAGAAAAAATAATGTAGGAAATACCTACGAAGATGAATGGTGGGAAGTAAATCTACCAGGGAGAATTGCGGACTTTTGTACCCCGCGTGATTGCGCTTCGGGCATCTGACTCTCAAGGTTATACATACAAGTTACATAAGTCTTACAGGGTATACCTAGGACATTGAATACTATATAAAATAAGGATATACTATACAGATAGAGATCTGTATCTACAACACTCTTAACTAGAAACCCTTTACCCTCAGCCTCCCCATCCCTCACAACCCTCACAAACCGCGTAACCACTCTCGGGACATCTTAATAAGCGTTGACATGGCTACTAGGAGCAAAAGAGGGGAGAAAGAAAGATTGATTTCTGCTACCAAACATAGAGCTGCTTAACTAGTTATACTTAACTATGTCTGGATGAAGCCTGGGAAACAAGGCATCCAAGAGACATCTAAAGTATTCATCCCAACCAGTGTCTCAACAAATTTAGTCGGTAACACTATTTCCTCTTCGGGTTTGCGTTTTCGTATTCTAGATATACGAAGGCAGCAATAAGAGTCCTGTCTCAGAAGATAGGGGTATAGAGCCAAGTTGTGCTCCGCATAATAAGCAGTGGAGTGGAGACTGGGTGCCCCTTTAGGTATAGATTGAGCGGTACCTGAAGGCTTGATATATTGCGCATTCCTCCGACTCTTCCGCGATGTACACGATACTCGGCCGCGTATGCCTTGCCTTGCGAGGTCTTTTTCAGAAGTCCTTTTGGATATCTTTCTAGATATCCTTTTAGATCTCTTCTTTTCGTAGATATTTTCCCAGATATTTTGGCAACCTTCCACAGTTTCATAGATCGGCGGAAAAAAAAGCGGGAAAAGGCTTAATTTGTGAAGCTGGGTCCACGTACATGTCTACATATCTGTTCTCTCCTACACATGGCTTTCGGAGTTGACAGTTCTAAGACATATACTCCGTATTTGTTATAGCTATTAATTCATCCGAAAATTCACCGGCTTCACACGTTAAACCAGGCCCATATTAGTTTAGCCATCGGCTCGCACAACCTCGTTCAAATCCACTACATGGTGGATCCCCACTTAGAACTCTCAACGTCTTTATTCGAAACAACCACCCAAAGCCCCAAATGAGCTTGACTTATTCTACCACCCCTTGGCCGGATACGTGTTCCATGTCCATGGCCGGTTTGAATCTGAAACGGGGGCCCGCAGCACGGATAACTTCCAAGGTCCAGCATCACATTGGAGGAAAATTCATGCTCCCAAAGAATTCGGCCCAAGGAATATTCGGGTTCTTCACGTTTTAATTTGGTTCTAGCTCTGGATTCTAGTTCGTTTCAGAATGACCCGTAGAAGTATATAAGACTCTCCTTGTCTGCTCTTTTGAAGAATCACAAAAAAAACATCACGCTCTTTCTAAACTTCACATTCATTTCTATTCATACTTTCTTTATCATGGCTTCCAGCTTCAAACTTGGCTTGATTGCCCTGCTCGGTGCTGCTGCTGTCAATGCAGCTCCCGCCGCAGAGGCTAACGTTCTTGGAACCTCTCTCCTTGCCCCTCGTGCTTCTTGTACCTTCTCCGGCACCACCGGTGCTGCAGCTGCCATCAAGAGCAAGACTTCTTGCTCAACCATTACCCTGAGCAACGTCGTTGTCCCAGCCGGAACTACTCTGGACCTGACAGGACTGAAGACGGGCACCACCGTAAGCTCGTCACAATCTCCAACCTGAATCTCTATACTAACCACACCGCATAGGTCATCTTCGAAGGAACCACCACCTTCGACTACAAGGAATGGGAAGGTCCCCTGATCTCTGTTTCCGGAACATCCATCACCGTCCAGGGAGCCGCAGGCGCGCAGCTCAACGGAGATGGTGCCCGCTGGTGGGACGGCAAGGGAGGCAACGGCGGCAAGAAGAAGCCCAAGTTCTTCAACGCCCACAGTCTGACCAACTCCAAGATTGAGAACATCTACATCAAGAACTCCCCCGTGCAAGTCTTCAGCATCAACGGCGCCAAGGAGTTGACTCTCAGTGGAATCACCATCGACAACGCCGATGGAGACAGCCAGGGCGGCCACAACACCGACGCTTTCGACGTCGGCTCCAGCGACGGTGTCTACATCACCAGCCCTATCGTCCACAACCAGGATGACTGTCTGGCTGTCAACTCCGGCACTGTATGTATATAGCCAAAACATACCCAAGCCGAGCTTATCTTATTTGGACCCATGAGCTAACTAATATTTCCAGAACGTCCACTTCACCGGCGCTCAGTGCACCGGCGGCCACGGTATCTCCATCGGCTCCGTCGGCGGACGCTCTGACAACGTCGTTAACGGTGTCACCGTCGAGAACTGCACCATCAAGAACTCCCAGAACGGTACGCGAAGATGTTCACCCAGTTTCAGTTGCATTAAAATTCTTTATCGATGTTAGTATTCTAATACTCCAGTTCTACAGGTGTTCGCATCAAGACCGTCTACGGCGCCACCGGCTCCGTCAAGGGCGTCACCTACAAGGACATCACTCTCTCCGGAATCACCAAGTACGGTATCGTTATCGAGCAGGACTACAAGAACGGCAGCCCTACCGGTACCCCCACCAACGGCGTCCCCATCACCGGTCTGACTATCGACAACGTCCACGGATCTGTCTCCAGCAGCGCTACCGATACCTACATCCTCTGTGCCTCTGGTGCTTGCTCCAACTGGTCTTGGAGTGGCGTTGCCATCACCGGTGGTGAGACTAGCAAGAAGTGCACTGGTATTCCCAGCGGTGCTAGCTGCTAAATGCCACTTGGGATTTTGAGTCGGACTGTGTAGACCTTTGGACTCTTTTTTGATTGGGTTTTGTTGGCTGTTTTGGGCTACTTGCTCACCTCGTGTATACTATTTTGCCTCTAGAGGAGGCACCTGAATCGAATTGCAAATTTGTCATTTGATCAAAATATTTCTTACTATAATAGCTCTTTTTAAATCTCGTATGCCAGGGCAGAATGAAATTCAGAACGAGGAAATCCACTTGCATTATGTTATGGTCTGCTTATTATCTCTTTAGCATTTGCTAGCAGAACCAGTGGCATGGCTATGGATAGGTCCTGGATTCTGACAGATGTGTCATCGTGCGCAGACTGCTTCCACAAGCCGCGGAGACCTTGATAAAGTTCTTCCTGTATGTGCGGCAGTCTTTTTTGATGTAATATTTATCGATTCAAATGCCAGACGCTGCACATTGTTTAGATCATCCTTCCCAAAGAAAGATTCGTGAAGAATCCGCAGATCTACCGCCTGGTAAGGTAATTCAAAAGCAAATGACGTAGAGCCTGTGGGTGCAACTAACTGTGATGTAAATTTACTACTACAAAATATATTACTCGAAAGAAGGAATGTGAAAAAGAAAAGGAGTAATCGCCTGGTGTGATATCCATGGTCAATCTATACCGCGTACATACAGGCCGCATATTTCCACGAGTCTGATCTACATGTTAAACAAACATGTGAATAAAAAGAGGAGAGTAAAGGCAAGGACCCCGATATAATGATAAGCAAGTGGCTCGCATGAAAAAATCAGGGACGGACGATCCCACCACGCCCATCTGGAACTCCGGTTGGATGCGTGATGCAAAGAAGCAAAGAAGCAAGGAAGCAATGAAGCAATGAGAGACAAAGAGATGATAATGAGTGATGTTTTAGAGTGTAAGGAAAAGGAATGCGTGTAGGAGAAACGAGTTGGAAGCCAAGTGCAAAGGTTTGATAGGTATGCAGGAATGGTGAGTTGAACATAAAAAAAGAATGACGCTGCTAATGATGTGTAGGGAATGAGGACTGAAAGGAAAGTTGAGGTTGTGATAAAAACAATGGATGGGTGACAGAAACAGTCAGACCCGAGGGGAGGAACCGGTTTATTTCGCGTGGGTATAGTACCTCGGTTCTTGGCTATAGGGCTGGCTTTGTTGATAGCTAGGCAGTGTTTGAGCTTGCGCAAGCTGTCCGTACCAGGATGATCGACGGGGTTCGTCGGGGCGGGCTGTCTGGTTTAGGGCATCCCATGTGTGGCTGGCAGCCGGCATGTTGTACATGGACTCGTGGCGACCATGTTGAGATTGATACACAGAACCAGCCTGTTGGGGCTGCATATGCTGAGGTGCGAACGACGGCGCGAACTGCTGAGGCGCATACTGTTGCAGATTCATCAGGTGTTGCTGACGGTGGGCAATGGCCTGTTGAACCGCCTGATTCGACATTCCCTCCCGCATTTCACGCTTCTCGCGCTCCCGAGCATCGATATGTGAGACAAGGCCCATAGGGTTCACCGGCGCCTGTGGTTTCCGGTTGTCATTTGACATATTGAAGAATGAAGAACCAGTCATGCGGGCAACATGCTCCTGTTCACGAGCGGAAAGATTGGTTGAGGCCTCGTTGTAGTTAAGCATACCCTGGGCACCACGAGACGAAGGTCGATAGTTGGGATCTCGCTGAGGGGCCATGGGCGAATTGGGATGGGCATACTGTGTCCAGTCGCCAGATACTGGACGGTGTACCGACATAGGATTGGAAGGGGTGCGATTGTGGAGATGCACCGGAGGACTGGGGGCGGCCCGTTGCTGCACGAACTGTTCCGGTGTAAGACCTCCACCTGGGGTAACAGGGCGACCGGAAGCCATTCCAGGCTGCCATAGCATACTCCGTCGAAATTCCTCCCCGGTGGAAGGCCGGGCATTCGCTTGATCGATTGCTTGAGTAGGAATGGAAAATTTGGTTCCCGATGAATCATTGCGTTGGTGCATTGGTTTTCTCAGGGTGTCTGATGTGGTTGGCCGCCCAGTAGTAGGCATATAGGTCATAGTTGGGCCGAAGTCAACAGTGGGAATATCCGGGTTCGAGGTTGGGGGCTTGTCCATAGTATAATGAGTATCGCCAATGACATAATCTTTGACAGCTGGGACTCCCACAGTCTTCATGACACCCATTCTGGGTTTGGTGGACGCAATAGATTTCTTGCTGTAGACAGAACCGTGGGTGCTAGCATAGTCAGGCGAAACCGTCGATGCATCATCATAAATGCTCTCGTCCTCATTCCCGTTTCTTTTCCCAGTAGATGAGATTGGGGATGGAAGATGAGGGGCAATTTTATTCAACGCATCTTCATCAAGGGTATGGCGAAGATCCTCGAAACTCGGTTCGCTTGGTGACTGTGGCTCTGTCACGAAAAGGGTTTTCTGGGGGAGTGGCTTGCGTCGCACGGATTTGTTGGAGTCAATCTGCATCCGTTGAGGGGAATATCTCTGGGGGGAAACCCGCTGTGGACTGCCAGTAGTACTGGGTGTGTTCGGGCGATGCTCCGGAACTGAGGGAGGTTGAACAGGGAATGCAAGGCCTAAGCCCTCGTCACTTGATGAAGCTACAAGAGAGTTTGTGGACACAACGGGGCCAGGAGTATAGACCCTGTCGAAGCCCCTGTCCTGGGGCTGTTGGTTGTTCGTAGTCTGTGCCTGGTGGCTTTTCCATGCAGCACCGGCGGCTGCCGCGCTCAGTCCCATCGTTCCGACTGATGTGAGTTGCGAAAGTGTTGCGTGAGACATCCGGTTGTTTGCCAACCTCTGCTCCGAAGAAGCCTCTGGTCGGTTAATGGGCATCTCTTTGGGTCCATGCGAAAATGCGGGTGGATTTTCAACAGGAGCCGGTGGGGTGCGTGGAGGGAGCTGTTCTTCGACTGGCGGGCCACGGGGACGGTCGAGATTTGGGTCGCTCCCGGAGCTGGTACTCTCAGCGATAGGCGCGACCGCTGGAACGCCACGGTGCATCAGATCTTGAGAAGATGAGTCAGGTGAGCTCTCAGGTAAAGACCCCCGGCCTGGCCGAGAGCCAGTGTTAAAGCCCGTGGTATCAGAAACCACGCGGTTGTGATACACAACGGGTGAGCCCTCGTTTTGGGGGACTTCATGAATAATAGCCTCAGTAGAATTGTTGAATTCAGGCTTGTTCTCGAGACCCGCAAACTGGCGGCGAGTAGAGTCCATAGGGATATCACTGGTTCGGCCAGACATTGAGCGATAACGAGGTCTCGTGCTGTTGACACTGTTGGTTCGGCTCCTGCCAGATGAAATTCGGCGCTGTGTTGCCTCTTTGAGCTGTTTCCTCCACTGAGCTTCGCTCCATTCTTGGCTTCCCGGGGTTTGAAGAAGACTGGCAATGTCAAGCACATCAAGATAACCGTAGCGTCGCTCCTTGGGGAAGGCAAACATGATACTCTTAATGTGATTAGTGTCTGCCACTAGGCGAGTAGGACGGCCATAGAGATTGAAAGTATCGAATGTCGGGAAAAGGAAGCGCAGCATCATCTCCAATCCAGAAACCGCGGCATGTGGCTCAGGCATGACAAAAACAAGACCCTCTGAGGAAGAATCCGGCGAATGCGTGGTAATCCATCCTTCCAACTTCACCAGGGTGGATGCATCAATTAGTGCCTTGGATTGTGGATAAATCGCATGTGCCGAGTAAACCTGGGTAACCGTTGCAATGGGAATCACCTTTTTCGTCTTCTTCGTCTCGTAAAACTTGATGTTTCCGGTAACAGGCATTGTCAATCGATCATATGCCGATTTCTTCATGACTTTCCGCGCCTTTTGGAGCTCCTTTTCGTCTGGTGGGCTGATCACAAACCAGCACCGTCTCCACGGGGTTCCTGCTCCAAATCGTACACGCGCCCAATCCTCGTACTTGAATTTGGTGGGCGCCATGATAGAGTTGATTCCATTGAGAGTTCTTCCTCTCGCTGCAATCAAAGAACCGGTGTAAGCTTCGTACAAAGAAGTGTGTTCGAACATCGCCAGACGAATCGCCGCAGTCCATTGGGTTAGTGAGTTGAAAGAATTGAAATGCAAGAGGTATCGATTTTTGCCAGCGGAAGAAAGGCTGAGTACGTTCTTCAATGGTTGTACGGCTCCATTTTGGATCGGAAGAGTCTCAATCTGCGAGTAACTGGTGAGTTCAGGTCTGACAATTCTGGGAAGCTAAAAGCGCACCATCTTAATAGACGCATCGGCCAAGTTAATGAAGGTCGCCGGGACCTCTTCTCCACCTGCTGCGTCCAGCGCAGCGCCATCCCACAGTGAAAGAACAGTTCCGACCAGCTGTGCGTAGCATTCCACCCATTGCCGATCACCAGAATTTCGTCCGTCTGCCACGTGTTAGCCCACTTTTCCCGCAAGGTGCCGGGGGGGTGGAAGTTCACTTACGAGAATCCTGATCATTCAGTTTTAAAAAGTATCCTTCATGGTAGACCTTGTTTGTGTGGATATTGAGGAACGAAAAGATTGGCGATAACTCCGGTGGTGTATCGCCCGCCTGCTGCATAAGAGGTGGGTTGCGTGAGAAGATCATGGATGCCGGTCGCGAGCCATTTCCGACTCTTGGTCCAGAGCTCGCAGGGGACGATGATTCGGTCGGAGGAGACGGTGTATCGGGAGGGGTTTGCCACTGGGGTGGTGTGTCGGACGGAGTCACGTTGGCCACTGGCGTAACGTTCTTCGCCAACTTTTTGCTTTCTTTAGCAGAATCATTGTGCTTCGATCCCCCCAAGCTGGATATAAACGAGCGAACTAGTAAAACGCAAGGGAGAGTCAATAACGGGCTCTAGTGCACTTCCCGGCATACCCGGGAAGGATCGACTTACCACGCGAACGGCCCATGACGTCGGAATGTGATGTGCGGACAAGAACCTCAGTAGACTCTTTGAGAATTACCCCTCACTGAGTTCGACTGTGAAACGTGTTGAAAGTAAAGAGAGGGACTGGAGCGTAGTGGGATTTAAAAGGAAACTGTCCGAGGTAGGTCGAATTGCGCTGAACGAGAGACTGTCAAATAGCGACTGCGCCTTGACCGAATATGAGAGCAATCAATCCATAGAGTCCACACAAGGTGAAGGAAGAATAAGAATGAATGAGAACGAGTGGTTGGGTCGGAGTTTAGGAGTGTAGGGAAATCGAGCTCTGCCAAGGAAGATGACGTTACAAGCTGGGTACGTCTTCGCTAATCACCGGGATTAACGATCCTTGTTTTTTATTTTTAATTTTTTCAGAGACAAAGGAGAGAGAAAGAGAAGAGGATTGGGATAATTAGAAGAATAGGAGGATTAAAGAGAGAAGGAGAGGAGCCAAAGACGAACCAAAACTACCGGTCATTTGGTCATTTGGGCAAGTCCCGAGAGAAGACTAAACATTCCACGCTACACCAGTAATATACTTATAACTACGGAGTATGTACGTATGTTGTAGTCCATAGTTAGAGAGTACTCCGTATTATTATATTATTATCTCGGGTGACACTTAAAAAACCGAAGCCAAGCCAATTTCTACTTTGTTTTTTTCCCCCCTCTAAGACCTTCAACAAAGGTTTTTGATTGGTGTCATCCGGGACCCTCTTGGATTATCGGTGGAGAGACAACGAGACTATAAGTAGACTAGTAGTATGCATGGTGGATAAATATAGCTATAGATGTCTTATGTTCGAACACAACGGGAGTATAAGGTATGTTATGACTCCCCTGAGTTATACTCCATACGGAGGGAGTACCTACTCCGTACTCTCGGTTTCCTCTTCTAATTTCCCCCTTAAATTCTGCAACAATCCCCATTTGTGGCCAAGGCTCTAGTTCCCGCCACTGGATGTAAAAAGATGTAAAAAGGACAGCCGGATGTGAACGTGGGCTTGGCAAGTTCTGCAGTTTCATTGCCACTTCGGACTCTCACTCTCTCACATGACTCTTACACGTTGCCTTTCTTACCTACAACATACTCCACACATCATCTGCACACCTGGTCCGCTTGACCACGCGTATATCCTTTCAGCGCTGGAGAGCCTATTATTTAATAGATTCCATTCTAATCTTACTCTACAACATACATAATACAATTCAGGTACTCAGGTACTAATTTTGTTCCCTGTTTTCTATTTACCCCGCCGGGACCCGGATGTAGTTCATGGGCTTTTCACACACGGGCCTTTTCACTCCTGCATTAGGGCACTCCAGCCACAATATTTGCTCAGGTAACCTAGGAACGACGCAATTGTATTAGGTATGGCGCACATCTGGATATGAACATGGTGTGGAGCACGGAGTAATCCCAGGTAGCTCCGTGCAATGCCCAGGTATTATATGGACGGTCGCAGTCTTGGCATTGGATGAAATGAATTAATGATTTTCTCACCTGCATAGGATCAGCATGGCCTCATGGAGATCTGACCTAACGCGTCATCGGTACGTTAAAAATTTTAAAAATGTAGATCATCCATGTGGAATTTGGAGGCGACTTTCTTCCCAGGCTTTTTTTTTTTTTTTTTCTTTTTTTTTTATCTTTCCAACTTTGAACGTGGCTGTGCGGGTTCCACGGTTAATATCACCCTGTTGAGGAAATAAAGTTATTCCAAGGTTTGTATCAACATGCATCGTATCAATCTACTCATATAGAAAGCTCCACCTTCCTCTATCTCTTTAGACTGGACTAGACCTAACTTTATCAGATGAGGTCATTTTCCAAGATGATATGTTGAAGATATGTTGAAGATACAAGCAGATGAACCGACGTTGAGCTTCGAGCAGATTGCGTGTGTCGAAATAGAGCTTCTCGCTGAGATGACATTAATAGGCAAACATCGCTGCAGCTAAGGTCTGCATAGCCGGACAGAGACATGTCTGGGCAGGCGTATGGCTATCTTATGTCGCCGACGCAAAGTAGCCTTGAAAGCAGTGCTTGGGGTGGACTAGAACGTCTCGACCCCAGAGGTACAAATGATACCGCTCGGGCCGTAACGAACCCTAAGAAGTAATGACTCAACCGGACCTCAACCGGACCTCAACACCGGGCGTCGGTCTGAATAACGTGCAATCCCGCCCGTTATAAACATTTGTGTTACAACCCCTAAACCTTCCAGAGCTTTTAACTCTGATCATGGCGATACATATACATATAACTCCACTCAAGTCTTGGGCTGGCTTCACTTTTGCTTTAGTTTCCTCCTATACACACCATCCCGTCTAATCGGTGCAGCTGAACCTCTTTCCTCTGCAGAAATGACATCAGTAAACCGAGCAGCCTGGATCCCCGGGAAAAAGGTCCTATCATACAAAGACGGCGACTCCCGCCATAGCTCTGGCCAGGTCGTAATCAAAAACACTGCCGTGGCCATCAAGCCTTTCGACTGGGTGTTACAGTACGCCAGCCCAGCACTTGCCGGTTATATCAAGAATTCATTCATCTTCAGCGCCGATGTTGCCGGTGAAGTCGTCGAGGTCGGCCCCGACGTGGAGCGTTTCCGAGTAGGCGACCAAGTCTGCGGTAGTACTGCAGCCATTGCAAAAAGAGGTCAACCGTCCGGCCGAGGGAGCTTTCCAGCTCTATACGGTAATGAGACAGAACATTTTGACGCCGATGAACAGGCCAGTATATTGGGACTGGGTCTTGGAACTGCCGCATACAGCCTCTTCCACCCGGATTATCTGGGTCTCGACATGCCTCAGATCCCAGCACCTACTAAAGCTGTAGAGAAGTCAGGCTTGTCACGCACTGTTATCATCACTGGTCCCATGTCCAGGCGCGAATGCGGAATTCCTTTATTATCTTTTCGCATCGGTAAACTTGATATAGTGCATTGAAAAAAGTGACAGAAGAAAATATTAAATGTTGTATAAACTGTCCGGGCAAGGTTCCTCAAAAGAAATTCAATTCTAATTTCCCCCAAAAAGACAGTGAAATAACCCGTTGACTACCGTGTCGGTAGATATGCAACCATATAAAGAATGACGAATAGTCTTCCAAGGTTCCCCACTCCATTGCCGACCAACGACCCTACTTCTCGCCAGCCACAGCCAAATCTTCATCACCCCCATCAGGAGACTTATCAGTAATGGCCTGAAGCTTGGCCTTCCGGATATCCTTCCATCCAAGTCCCGGAGAAAACACTAAAACGGCGATGCTAACAGCAATACCGAGATACATAACTTTGTCGATGCTTTTAGCGTATGCTTCGAGCACAGCGGTTAGCTCAGAGCCAGACATCATTTCACGGATGGAGCGGACTCCAGCATTGATAATAGCGTCTGGGGAAACGCTAATTTGTGTAGCGCGTTTTTGAAGCTCGGAACGAAGGCTATTGCTAAAGATAGCGTTTGCAGCGATCAGAGAAGTGGCAGCACCTATATTTTGTGCAAAGATGACAATAGCCATGGCAATGGGAATCTGCTCTGGAGCCACGAGACCTTGGATGGCTATATATGGCTAAATGGAAGATGCAGATTAGCACGAGGTCTATTATTTGACAACTTTAGAAACATTGAACTTACGGCTGCAGTCGTACAACCGCTTCCAACGCCGTAGAGAACTTGGTACCCAATCCATTTTGCAACCGAGGTAGTAGTATCCAATGTGGACATGAGTCCGTAGCCAATAGATGATACCACACCCCCCATAAGAAGGAATGGGAGATAGTAGCCCAAAACGGAAACTTTCTAGTATTAGCGGCGGGTAGTGTACAAAATCACGACTGGAAACACTTACTCAGGGTTCCCGAGATCATAGTAAATAGAACGATACCGAGGGTGATTGGGAGCATATGAACACCGCTCATTAAGGGTGTGTCATCGTGGATTGCCTGGAAGTAAATCGCAATGTAGAAATCAGCGACAAGAATACTAGACAAGCTGAAGAACATTGTCATTGCAGCCGACCAGATAACTCGGTGTTTAAGCATAGTAAGTGGCACCATAGCATTATCCCCTTGTCTCCATTCCCAGATCAGGAAGACAACAAATGTAGCACCAGCGCCGACTAGCAAGCCTATCACGACTGAGCTATCCCAGGCGTATTGGTTGCCGCCGAACTGGAGCCCTAGGAGGAACATGACGACCGCCGGGCAAATGAGCATGAATCCGGGAAGATCGAGAGATTTGATGGCAGAGCTGAGAATCTGCAGTGGCGGATCCTTGGGTTTCGGCTCAGGGATTGTGTTGAAGAGGAGGAATCCGCCGACGACAACGCCCAAAGGGAGGTTAATGTAGAAACCTAACGTAAGAATAGTCAGCGTTTTAGGGATCTCAGTAAGAAATAGAGCAACATACACCACCGCCAGGACAAATTCGTCGTAAATGCGCCTCCAATAATCGGCCCCGTCGCAAGGCCCACCTGGCCTATACCCATATTGAGTCCCATGAAAAGGGCCTGTTTCTGTGTTGAGAGGACGGCGGAGATGGTTGTTACTGCACCGTTGGCCACCCCAGCAGACCCAATACCCGCGATAACACGACCGATGATGAACATAGCTGACGAATGCGCAGCTCCGCATATAGCAGAGCCAACTTCGAAGATAACGAAGAAGACAAGAAAGGTCCACTATACAATGATCTTGTTAGAATTTGCCTTCGTGTTCACGATCCGTGCGTCGTGAATTAACGTGAACTAAGACATACCTTGATAGAAAACTGGCTGTAGATCTTACCGCTTAAAGGCTGAAATGCTGCACTTCCAAGCTGGTAGGCACCGCCATACCTAGATGAGATGAATTAGTATCTCGCAAAAAGATAAAACGACGAACAGTCGTGGCCCAGACAAGTAAATGAGTATTTACTTACCAACCAACATCCACCAACGAGTCAAACTGGGTGGTAATGGCCGGAGTGGCCGTGGAAATGACAGCAAGGTCCAGGAAGAATAGGAAATAGGCCAGAGTAACTGATGTCAGGATAAGAGTGACCGCCAGGCCCGAAGGATATTCGCGCTTGAGCTCTGTATTATCGCTGGATGCACTGAGCTTGACACCATCTTGTTTTTCTACCAAGTTGGACGAGTCTATAGGTGGCCCATCCGGAGTGGAATATCTTGTCTCGGCCATTGCAAGACAAGAGGTCTAGTCAAGTGACGTGGGGGAAGAATTTGTGTTGGTATGATGCTGTGATTACTGCAGGATCTTGATGATAGTATAGTACAGTTATATACTTTTTATTCGACTGTTGATTATAAATGGAGTACACTGGAGTACACGAATATCTGGGTGTAGAATGAAGCGGACTTTTCCTCCGAAGTCCGTAATTGATCAGGGGCTTCTTTCACCTGCGCGGATTTGGGCCGGAATATTGGGCGAGTCGGATTCTACTTTCAAAATCCGAAATTTATCTTCGTCAAACCCCGAGAGTTAAGCTTACAAGGGTTTCTACCTCCCTACGTAGATTCCTCGCGTTCGGTACAAATTTATAGATGGAAAGAAAGCTATACCTAAAGCGGATTAAAGGTGGGTCTCTAGTTCGGGAGCTAAGGAAATGAACCTTGGCACCGGTATGCATCTCAGTATGCATCTCAGTGTACATTCATCTCAATGTGCATCTGCTTCAGTCTTGTATTGGAATATTTCTTTTTTTAGGTGTTCCTCTTTTTGTTTAAATATCACACATTCAAGAGTAATATAGGCGTTCTTTCTGATAACATGGACATGGACATGAACATAAACATAGAGAATTTTGGTGCGTCGAGCTAATGCGAACGCGTATCGGTAATCAGCAACCAGCGCCTGGAAAGTGTAGTGCGTAGTTCACCTGTGATTTCCTCATCACTTACCTTTGCTCATCATCCTTTTCCCATACCATCACAAACCCTTGTCTCACTCTTCCAATGAGACCATTTCAACTTTATGCTTCACCGATCACCCAACATCTTAATCGTTCTTTCCCATTTTCCGATTTGAATTCGAAGTGAAAGTCGGACAAGCACACAGTATGTCTTCTCTCCCAGTCTCACCTATACTAGAATATTATGGTAGACTCGAGAAACATGAGACTACAGATATAAACCTGAGATGCTTCATTGTCTCTACTTTCTTCTCGCCTCGTCCCCTTCTGGTTTCCCGCCGGTTGGCCGTAGCCATTGGGATGTGGTTCAACTGGGATTGACTTCCCACGCGCTTACTTCTCTCTACATTGTCAATCACTACAATTACTCTGTCTGACTCTCGAATAGTTTTCTAGTACACAACCCAGGAGCAGAAGCATTGAGATCTTTACATGCCTTCCAGCCCGCGAGCATTGATTAAGATGCGCAGATACACAGTTCCACAACAGGAAGTCCAAGTTAAAGATGATGAAAACTTCCCACATCTTCTCGATGCATTGGATCTCCATCAGATCTATGAACCGATATCACCTCCTACAATCATTTACGAGTCCCCTGTACTTTCATCCGAAGGGCACATGCCACGACTGCTGCATTGGAGAGCTGAGCAGAGTGGTAATCTCGATTTTTTGCGAGAAGAAGTCTCATACTTCGTCATCGGCTTCAAGCTAGATGATTTACCAGATATGATAACTTCCTATCTTCCTGGTTTGAGAACAGACACTCTCCCCGGATCCTTTGCCCATCTTCTTTTCTCGCTGTTTGGCCCATTCGAGGAAGTTGCTGAGCTCCAGCGATCTCTGAGCAATATCCCGGACTATTTTAATGACTACAGACACCGAGCAATGTTTGCGAACAGAATTCGAAACATCAATCGCGAGCCAAAGGATTTCAAGTGTGGTGCTACCTTCGCGCCTCAGCTCCCGCCGTCCTGGAATGGTGAATGGTGCAGGAAATCCGACGAATCTTTATTCTCTCGTGAGCTGCGAATGCTCAGGGACTTGGTGGAACCTCTACGTGATACATCCAAGCCTATTTACTGGATCACGGACCGACTTGAGACTGCTGTGGAGATGGACACTGGATTCCTGGCGTCTAAAGAATTGATCGCAGATTTCAAGAAGGAGCTCTATGAGACCGCGTGGAATCGCCGCAAGAACTGTCTGCAAATACTCCATACATTTTCTCCAAATGAACTGACTTTCTAAACATCTTTAGACACAATCTATGACCCCCGTCCTACCTGGGACAAACAACAGAAAGCAACAAAGCAGCTCAGAGAATACCGCCTGCAAGCCTGTAAAGGGGCGCTGTACTGAGACCGCTGGCCTCCAGTGGAGGAGCAGTACGACAAGAGAGTCCTGGCCGCAAAGCAATCCGCCATTGACAACAATCCCAAAGCCGCTCAAGCCCTCGGATTCCTGTCACCAGAGAACCCTCAACCACCAACAGTCCTAGTCTCAAGCCAACCAGGCATTGAACTCGCACGCATCACCGACCTTGACCACTACGACGACCAAATCATGATCATACTGATTCGGATCAGCCAATGGTTAGCTCTCGCCCGCGGCTTCCCAGCAGTCCATCTGTTCTGCGACATCGTCCACTCTTCACCATCTACGGCGTCGACGTAGCAAACGCCGTTCAAGTGGAGTTCTGCAAGCATCTAACCAGCTTGTCATTATTCGGTTGGGACCATGTCGAATTGTCACCGTTGTTTCCCTATCTGGAAAGCGAGATCGAGGCACACGAGCTCTGTCCCGAAGAAATCCGGAATCAGAATGCACGGAACAACTGGGCCGAGAAGCAGTTGATGATTCACTCCTCGCTTTGGTGTAAGGATGATAACGCTATTGCCTGGGACTACCCCCTGCAGACCCTTGTATGGGAGAAGGAGGATGGCCCGGTGCTTAGGCTTAGGTCTCCTCCTTTCCAGGATCACGCTAGACACATTCCCTGGGGTTTGGTTGATATGATGAAGGAAGGGCTATGGGTTGGGGATTATGAGGATCAATGGCTGGCGCAGTTCGTGGGGTTCAACAGTGAGTACTCCGGTGGCCACTCTTTCCGCGGTGAAGAATGAGAGACAGAAATGAGGCAAAGGCAAAGGATGAAAAAAAGATACCGAGAAGAAAAAAAAGATGGCTGAATACATATGGATGGAAGTGCGATACCGTATCTATTCATACCCAGTTATATCAAGAGCTAGAAAGAAGCCTGACTTATCTGAGATGCACCAATTCCACAACATGTAGTATTTGGCAGCTCTATGTATCACATGCCATTGACAAGCATGTTGTTTCACGGGGGTAATATAGAAATAGGAATAAACCAGTTATTATAAGACGAGGGCGTCCTCGTCTGTGGACCTGAAAGTACGGTCTTTAAAACTTAGGTATGGGATTAGGATCAAGTTTGAATTCAAATAGAAGCTGGTCCACCGTGTATTGGATTTTTCGGGTTGAAGACGGATGAAGTCAACATCCTGTCGAGAAATAGGGACTTTCTTTAAAGAAAAGTCCACTGGTACGCACCAAGAACGCTAGATATATAATCATAACATCGTAGAAATGCCCTTCATAATTGTTCCATCGCATAGTAAGCATTGACAGGGCCAACTAGCGCCGTCTAGTTACGGCTGGGTATCATAGAATCAATATCGGGTATTAAAGAATCAAATGCTGTCAACTGCTCTCATTGGGAGATCGTCTTGCATCAAATAATCAGAATCCAACCCCGGCTGACTAGGGAGATAAGACGAATCGTTGGATTGTGAGCCGAAAGCAACATCTGAGGAATGATCTCCTGCCGTATATGATTGGGATTGTTGGTAGTAAGACCGACCATCCTGATCATATCCAAGACCATAGATTCCGAGCGAGTTGACTCCAAGACTGGATTCATCGGTAAGCAATGCGCGCTGCATGAAGAGATTCTGGACCTCGTCTTCCGTGCAGTAGTGTTTGGTCGTCATGTGTACCCACAGATCGTAATTGCGATGGAAACGATGTGGGCACGTCTCGGGGTAAAAGCAAGCGATCTGTCGTCCTGTTTCCTCGGCATAGCCTTGACCCGTGAGAGCGGAAAGAGTGGAAACGGAATTCTGCGTCGACTTTTTGTTCGTCTTTGCCTGACGTCGTTTCCTGGCATTCGGGAGACCCAGGTGTGTAACGCGGATGTGGTCTTCAAGTGTCAGTTTGTTGCCGTAGCGCTTGCCGCAACCGACGTGATCCCATCCATCCAGCTTGGTGGATTTTGAGAGATCTGTTTCGCCGCAGACGAACCGTTTCTCGCCTTGGTGGACTGTGCGGATGTGGACGGTCAAGTTGCCTTGCTTGGTGAAGCTCTGCCCGCAGCCAGGAACAGTGCAGGGGAAGATCTTTCGTTCTTCGAGGGTGACGTTGCCATGGGCTATCTCGAGGTGGCGCCGCAGTCCCCGTGCTGTGGAACATACCAATGGACACTCGGGACATGAGGGGGGGTGCACAATTTGGATGTGGTTTTGTAGACTGGCATATGTGGGGAATGACACATCCTGTTTTGCACTGTCGTCGGCCATTTCGGATGATTGTGCTTCCATATTTTCGGCACATTCTGTACAAGTGAATCGCTTCTCAGAATGGACTCTGCTCTGGTGAGTCCGTAGATTACCAGCCTTGTCAAAAGCCATATCACATTTCTCGTTTGTGATTGGGTCGACATGATTACATGGGAATGGCTTCTGGTTCAAGTGCACAACTGTGACATGTTTCTGTAGCGTCGAGTGCTTCCGGAATGTCTCGTTGCAAGGTGGGTACTCGGTACAGCGGTACTTATCATGTCCATCGTGCGTAGCAACGTGTCGGCGAAGCCGTGACCCGTTCACAAAGCTCTTTCCACAACCCGGGTAGTCGCAAACGTAATCTCGAACATTTGTATGTGCACTCTTGACATGATGTTGAAGATGGGTAATGCGTAAGAATGTTTTGTCGCAGTCTTCAACGTCACACTTGAAGATTCTTTCGTTGTTGTGTGATCGGATATGCTCCTGTAGTCGAGCCGGACGATTGAAGGCCTTATCGCACCCTTCGAATGGGCAAGGTAGGGTTTTGAACTCGGATGGGTATCGGTCACGTCGGGAAGAGGTAGCCGAGAATGGGGTCGCCGGAGAATCGTCCATGTCTTCGCTCATTAAGCTTGGAGTTCCAGGAGCTGAGTACTCGGCATCGGAGTGAGTTTCCTCATAGATCATGTCTAGGCAATCGTCAGCAATTGGATCATTTTATTGAATATTATCTAAAGACGTAAACTTACCCGAATTGTCCAGGACAGTCTGCTTCTGGCGTCGTTTGGGGGTTGTGACCCCCTCCGATGATACCTTCCGTTTCAAGGCCATCATGAGAAGTCCTAAAAAGGACGATTGAGAAAGAGAAAGTATCTCAGGGCATGAGGAAGTTCGGACATGAATGTCGAACTAATAATTTTATTTTTGCCAGAAAGGCGGTGACGGTCAACAGAGAGGAAGTTTTTCCGCTCCCAGGATTTTTAGCATCAAATCCCACCTCGACCCCCCGACTTGTCTCATACCTCTGGGTCTTTCATCGCTCGCTTCGGCCTACGAATACTTCGCTCCTTTACAGGTTTAATTGTCATTATGTCTGACTACGGCAACGACGACGATGTCGAAGAGACGTAAGCTATCTCCCTTCACCAGATTTCCCGGGGACCAGGCGCAAGGAGCTTTGCTTCCATTTTGCCTCCGGACAGCTTCACAATGTGTTCGCACATACTTGTAGAACCCCGTTTTCTGACAATTTGGTGTGCGCAGCTTCGACTACGAGCCCGGCGAGGATGTGTTTGACGAGGAGCCGGAGGAACAAGATGGCCTCGAGGGCGAAGACGGGGTTGAGGGAGAAGATTACCCCACCACAAACGGCGAAAATGTTGTTGTCTCCGGCGATCCCAATGCCGGATACGCAGGAAAAGTGATGGAGCAGTCGCGCGAGAAGAAAGTACCCAATGATCAGCGCACTACCACTCCGTACTTGACCAAGTACGAGCGCGCGCGTGTTCTCGGTACCCGTGCCCTGCAGATCAGGTACGTTTCTTGTTGTGCAGACACTTGCGCATATATTTCGTTAGATTGGGCTTGCTGACGTTTGGCTTAGTATGAACGCTCCTGTTCTTGTCGACCTCGAGGGTGAGACCGATCCCCTGCAGATCGCCATGAAGGAATTGAACCAGAAGAAGATTCCCCTGATCATTCGCCGATACCTTCCCGATGGATGGTAAGAAATGCCCTGTCAAAAACCAGCCGCGGCCCAGATCTAACAATGTTTGACTTTAGGTATGAGGATTGGACATGCGAGGAGCTGTTGTAGTGGTCAAAACCGTACCGTTCTACACGGAGGCTGTTTTCCATCTTTTGCTTTTCTTTGGGTTTCAGCATAGCGTTTGGAGTTCTGGGATTCGAAGAACCCGTCGAAAAAAAAGAGACTTGAATGTCCTTGATGAAACATGGGACATCAATGAGACTTTGTACATGAATCTAGAACGGAAAAAAAAACATATCCAAAAATAGTTTGACCTGTTTATCTTCTTGCATATACTCCCTACATGCTTTGACTTTATAGAAGAAGCAATTATAGCGCATATAACCCACGTGAAAAATGTTGGGATTTCAATGGCCTAAAGAATTTTGATATCTTTCCAAGTATAAATCAACTCACTGGGATAGGATACAGGCATTGAGTTGATAACATATTTGGAGTACACAAGTCATATCCACACCTCCATCCTTACAGGCATATACTAATTCCTGTGCTAGGATCATCCTCTCGCTTGACGGAAATTCACGGTAAAAAGCAGATTTGGCTATTCCCAATGTTGCATCCCACTCAGCTTATGGATCTCACTAGTAATTAGGCCAGTTTCGGTACCAGGGCAACCGATTTGCCGTCAATCAGCATTTCAGCATTGAGATTTTTATAACGAGGGAAAAGTATGTTATTTCAGTACATTTAGGTGAATATAACATGCTCAAGTCAAATTTTATATCCTATTCTAAAAAGACTCCCCCCTGTTATTTGTGCCATCAACCTACTTTATATCTCGAATGGCCGAATGGCCGACCTCGGCAGGTCCCAGCTAAACCCCGCTAACTTGTGGGTTTATAAGCCACTGAAAATTTGATAGTTATCTATTGCTATTTCGTCTTGACTTTATAATATTACACGAACTAATACCCTCACGCTCTCACCCGTGGGGGGCATCTATTTGACCGATATATGAGACATGGGGTCAACTAACTTGGATATAGAGCAAAAAATCCTTGCTGATTCTTCAGCCACTCAGGAAAATGCCAACTCCAATATATCACAGTCAACAGACAAAGAGCCCGAATTAACATTCGATACTGGGCTACAGACATGGCTCCAAGTTTTGGGCTCATTCTTTCTCTTTTTCAATTCATGGTAAGAATAAATTCTTTGATATGAAGATTCTATTGCTAACGACTTAAAATAGGGGCATTATCAATACATGGGGTGCATATCAAACCTATTATGAGCGAGAGTTGCTCGCCGGTACTTCATCATCAACCATTGCCTGGATTGGATCATTGCAGTCTTTCCTTCTGATGATGGTTGGGGTCATTACAGGTCCCCTGTTTGACGCTGGCTACTTTCGAACCCTCATCATCTTCGCCGCATTCCTACTACCCTTTGGCTTGATGATGACCAGTCTTGCCACAAAATACTGGCAGCTGATTCTTTCCCAGGGCATTTGCGTCGGACTCGCAGCAGGCTGTCTTTTCGTGCCCTCCGTCGCCATCCTGCCACAGTACTTCCGCCGCAAGAGAGGCCTGGCTAATGGCTTGGCTGCTAGTGGCAGCAGTATCGGTGGTGTGATCTACCCAATCATGTTCGATCAGTTGCAGAAGAAGGTCGGTGTTGCCTGGGCTACTCGAGCACTTGGGTTCGTCTGCTTCGGCACAATTTGCATTTCGATTAGCATCATGCGCTCGCGGATCCAGCCGAAGGAGAAGCGCAAGCTCTACCAGTTGTCTGCTCTAAAGGAACCGGCTTTTACTATCTTCGCCATTGC